TTATCATCATCGTCCTTTTGGTTGACAGAACTGCTCCACTTATCTTCAGCCCAGCTATCCAAGCCAGAACCATGGTCAAATCCTTGTTCCTTCTATCTTCTTTGCCAATCGTGTCTCCTGCTGCCTAGTCACTCACCTAGATGGCTCTCTCTAACACTCATCTATCCTGAGGTTGTTGAGTGGCGTTTTAAAGGTGACATTTGGGAGCACAGCTGTAACATCGTTTCTTTCCCGCATGAACCCACGAGGTTACAATTCCAGCACACACACCTCATCTTAGTGACCAGAGTGCCAGGTGACCTCACTCTCTGGATGCTGGCATTAGCCATACATTGCTGGCCACATGGTCACCTTGCTTAACCTTTCAGTGTTTGGCACCTTTGTCTTCTTCCTCCGTGAATAACCTGGATTTTCCCCTTAACTCTGTTCTTTCCCTGAACCTTTTTTGACATCCGTTTCTCTTCTACTTATGCATTGCATCCTGGGCTTTCTTCAGGGTTCAACTTTTGTGGGTTTTGGGAGTTGGGGTGGGGATTCTATCCTCCCCTTTAAGAAAACTAAATTTTGCTATCTATCTACCAGTGAGTTTGTTTTTTCCCCAATGATTTTTGTAGTTAGTGAAAGAGGTACATGAACACCAATTGCAGATAAACGTTCCCACAGTTATTTGGTCAGCAGAGGAAGTATGTATGTGTACTTACAGTTACAACCAATGAAAACCTAGTACAATACAACAAAGTTTCGTAGTAGAAGCCGACCTCCAGTGTGCCTCTTTCCCAGGAGGGAGTGGAGTCCTTATTTATTTATTTATTATTTATTTATAGATAGGGTCCTTTTATTATGCAGCTCTAACTGTCCCCGTGTCACTATGTAGACTATGAGATCCACCTGCCTCTGCCTCTTGAATGCTGGGATCAAAGGTGTGTGCTACCCACACTAGGTTGACAGGAGGGTGTGGGATTCTTCAGTGTCACTCTGGTAAAGCCATCAGACGTTAGTATTCTCAAAACCTGGTCTTGGTAGTTCATCAAGCAACTTTTGACCTGTCTGTACACTTTAGTAAGTTAACAGAGAGAACTGTTAGAAATTAGGGCAAGTTTTGATTTCTCATTTAAAACATTTCTCTTTGGGAAAAATTAGAATTGGTAGATGAGATTCTGTGTCCTATTTGTTATAGTCCAGGACTTTGCCAGGAAATTGTTCTGAATGCACTAAAGCCAGAGATATTCTCAAGGGAAAGAGTCATCGAGCAGTCAAGACGTCACCTTAAACTTTGCAGTGACGAAAGATATGCTGAATGCCTTACCTGAAGAGCTGGCTCTTCTGGCTAACTCCCCAACATTCCTTTTAGGGTACTCAGGATAGGATCTATGCTAGTCGTGAAGGCAGGAGTCTGATGAGGAGACTGGTCAGTGCTGATATGGAATAAGAACAGGTATTAATGACTCGCTAGAGTTGAATCGAAAACCATGGTCATGGGGAAGTTCCGTTTTAACATAGGTAATTTTCACGTGGGGTTAAAATAATATTGCAGTAGATATTTTACATTAATTGAGTACACGTAAGATCTTTTCATTTGCATCCTGTCGCTAATCGGTGTGTACAGGAGAAGAAATTAGGAACTGTCCCTTTAATAAAACATTGTTTACCTAGCCTCTTCCAGTGGGCGTGGCTTAGGAACCTGTGGAGTGAGGTGTGACTTCAGCTCTGCAGTCTGACCCGCCCCCTGGAAGAAGGGCTGGTGCTCAGAATCAGGAAGAGACAACTGAAGCTTCACACTGCACTAGAACTTGGCTTTTACGTGGCAAAGAGCCTCATAGAAGAGTAGGAAATTGAAGTAGCCAGTTTGCTTAGCTGTCATCAAAGTTTTGAAGCTCTACTGTGGGTAAAGACTTCATAGAGTACTTAGAATACTAAGCTTTCTGGGCCAGAAATTGATCTGCTGACTTTTGACTCCTATCTGATTACTGCTTAGTCCACCTTTATTTTGTTCAAGTATCTGCAGGCTGAACCCAGAGCCGCTTCGCGCCTTTGCAGGTAGGTGGTCGGCTTTCATATAATATTTAGGTCGGTTTTGTTTTTGTTTTTGTTTTTAAGGCTCAGCTGCTAACTACTGAAAAAGTTGCGACTATCAGCTGGCGTGTTTGAACAGTGTGATTGTAAATAGTCACGTTTTTTGAGACAGCTGGACAACCTTGCAGAAATAGTCACTTTTAACAAATTAGCAAATCTACCACACCGTGAATGAAATGAGTTTTGTTTTGTTTTCCATTAACCAATTATGTATTTACATTTAACTAATGGATGAAAATGTATGTTGAAATTATCTTGCTAATTAACTTAAATAGCATTTTGTTCTCAGGTTTTGCTCACCAGTTGCGTGTCTTTTACCGTTAGGAAGCTGAGTGTTCATCACCAAGTCATTTGTTTGCTTTAGTTTTTATCTTCAGAAACGTCTATTATTTCAAACTGTTTTTGTGAAAGGTTAATAATCTAAGACGCATTGTGCTGAAAAATTGTCTTCTTTTGGTAAAGCTAACTAACCATCCTTTTGTGATACGAAAACAGTTCCAAAGATGTCCTCTCTGGAAGATTTCGTTAATTCAAAGTATGAAGTATTGCTATGAAAACAGAATCCACACGGAATCTCTGGGGTAGAAGGCGAGTCCCTTTAGGACCAAGGACAGGAGTTTCCTTAACTGTCACTAATGGGCCTTTACATTTTTCTTCTCTGGGTATTCTACTTGAGAAGACGTCATCCACTAGAAAGACAGTTCTAGTAAAGAGAGAGCATTACAGAATTTGTTTTCTAGATGTGTGATTTTCAGTTGGAATTCTCCAACCTGAGATTTCCATTCCATGTTGATATAATCAGCTCGAAGCAAAGAGGCTTGTTTTTCTTAGCTCAGTTCCTTTATCTGTAGGTATTTGGATATTTTTGACATTTTGAAATGTGGATAATGACATCTGAATTGTCATCAACTGGTCTTGTGGTCTGGTCATCTGGGCTTGGCAAACTGGGATACAGCTGCCACAAGTACAGGCGTTTTCCTTTTAAGCTCCCTGGTTCCATGAAATGTAACCAGAGTCATCTAGTAAAACAAGGACACACAGCAGCTCCTGGGAGGAGGGAAGAGGAGGAGGGAAGAGGAGGAGGGAAGAGGAGGAGGGAAGAGGAGGAGGAGGTGTTGTAGAGAATACCGGGGCTGAATTCAGGGTCTTTATACATTTGACCCCATTACGCATTTGTACATTATACTTCCTAACTTTAAAACATTTCTCTAATTGGACTAAAAGATGACTTACTTGCTGGCTTCCTAATTAACATGACTTCCATCCTTCTATTCCCTCTCTATGGCTTGGTTGCCTTCTCTCCATCTCTTGTAGTTTTTCTTCCCCACATCCGTCTTTCCTCCAGCTTACCCAGAAGCCCGTCTCCACTGTGGAGCCTTATCTGGTCACCCTGGCTCTCAATAATATTAACTCCTTTTATGATTCCCTATCCCACTGACTCTCCCAGCCCATTAGCACATGATCCTGTGCATCTTATTTAAGAGCGCCCTTTATTCTTCAGATGTAAGTACTTAATATAGGGATTGTTTTTACACTCTTAGGTTCTCAATAGAGAGCTGTGGAATGGATGAAAGATCTGTTGACAGTTGCTTCAAGTACCACGCTGTCTGTCTCTTGTCTTGCTCAATCATATAATTAATTCTAATGCTCCTAGAAACCAGTCTGTCACTAAAATATGATGTTATTTTTCCAAATAGTTTACAGCTTGCTTTATTTGATTAAGGTTTTTTAAGTGGGTCAATATTTGTGTGTGTGTGTGTGTGTGTGTGTGTGTGTGTGTGTGTGTGTGTGTGTGAGATGCCCATGGAATCCTGAAGGGTGTGTCAGATCCTTTGGAGTTTCAGGTGTTTGTGACTTGTCTCACGTGGGAACTAGGATGTGGTCTCTGGTCCTTTGATGGAGCTGCAAGCACTCTTAACCACGAATTCATTTCTCTGCTGTATTTGATTTTACCACTAATATGCTATCTATAAAGAAAGCAAGCTGGACCTTATTAAAAGTAAATTAGCATTCTGAAGTTTGTTTTCTTGCATTTATATTTTAGGAAAATGTAGTTTAGAGCTCATTGGTGTACAAAGTTCTAAAAATGCTTAAAATATTCAGAAACAATAGTGAATTAAAAATATTGGTTCTGAGTTGACATTTAGAATGACTCTGAATTGTGATCATAGGTTGTATGGATCAGTAATTACCAGAAATGATAAGTAACTTACTTTTATAGAAAAAAAACACTTTAAACATCTTTACTGAAGTGTACTTATGCACAGTAGCTACTTTATTATACACTTTGAAAACCCACTATTTTCTAAGTGAGATGCGCCTTTTAGTTTCAACTACTTTGAAGAATAGCTCTAGTCCGAGATCAGCCTGGAGAACATGGTTAAACCATATCTCAGATGAGAAACGATTTATCTGTTTATCTATAATAAGTCCTTATTTACTTATTTATTTTTACATTTTTGCCTACATGTAGGTTTGAGCACCAGTCGTGTGCCTAAGATGGCCAGAAGATCCCCTGGAACTGGAGTCATAGATGGCTGTGAGCCACTGTGCAGGTGCTGGAAATCAAACCCAAGGCCCTGGAGAAGAGCAGCCAGTGCTCTTATCCATGGAACTTCCTCTTGTATCGTCTCTTATCAAATGGTCAAACTTAACCTTTCTTTTTCAGTGCTGGGGATTGAACTCAGAGCCTTATGGATGATATGCAGTTCTCAACCACTAACCTATGTGCCCAGCCCTCATTAACCCATTTTTTTTTTCTTTTTATAGAAAATAGAAACTAGGGAGACAAATAGGCCAGGATCGATCAGAGCCACACCTTGACTGCTCAGGCCACAGCTCCTTTGACTTTGGTCTTTGTGCTTTGAATCACTGTTACGTTATCTGTTGCATTTACCAATAGTCATGCAATGTTTCTGTCCTCTTAGAGCCTGACCAGACAGGAGTTCTGGCAACTGCTCCAGCAGAACTATGGCACGGAGCTGGGCTTAAACGCTGAAGAAATGGAACACTTGTTGTCAGTTGAAGAAAATGTGCAGCCAAGGTACAGTGAGGCAATGTAGCATGTCAAGGGGTATGGTGAACCATCACGTGTGGGTCATCTCCATTCTGAATTTCTAGAAACTCATCATTTGGTGCGGTTTGCCCTTTTATTGGTAGAGTGCAATTTGGCGAGAAGAGACTCATTTGCTAAGTTGGTAAACACATGTGGGACATGAAGAAGTGTTAAAGATGAGGCTATGACTTTTAGCATTTGCTTCTTAGAAAGGCTTTTTCTTAAGGATCTGGAGCAGGGGCTGGTGAGATCCCCGAGCTCACAGGAGACACTAGAGCAATTTGAGGGGTAGGGTGGTTTCATGACTTTTTTGAAGGCTCTCTAGCACAGTGACGTGTGCCTAGCACTCAGTAGACACTAACCACATTAGTCAGAATTGCTGACAGTGGCCCGGGAATGCAAGCCATGGTGATGCCAGGGTCACGTGGTGCTACAGTGTGATAAAGAAATTAGTAGAGAGATGATTTTGACAGCTGTTCATTTAGAAGTGTGAATATTTTACTTACTAACTGTCCAAGGAAAAATATACCCCATCAATGCTAATTGAGGCCATAGCCTCAATAAACAAAGGTAATACATTAAAATACACAATGTAGCAAACATTATGCCAAGTGAGAGAAGCCAAGATGCAAGGACCAAATCTTGCCATGTTGGCTGGGAGCCTATCGGGTAACGGCTGAGACATCTCCACAGCCCTCCAAATCTTATAATGTAAGTATGTTGAAAGTTTTAATACATACAGATGCTCTCCTCCTCTGGGCAGTCTTCTGTTCTACTGCTCCAACCTATGTTGTCTCAGTTTACATCAATATTTGATAGTCTTTTTTCACACCGCTGCACATGCATATTTTATAACTTTCCTGTAAAGTTCACATTTTTCCATTGCACTGCTATCATCATAAAGTTTGCTGGTATTGCTTAGGTACCGAAACGATGTAGAAAATCAGTTTACTGATACAGAGAGCCTTGGGGCATAGTCAACAAGATCTGGATTGTGCTTTGTAGCTGAGATATCTCTGGCAAACCTTTAGACATTCCCAGGCCTCAGTTTCCCGATCTATGAACACAAGGCAGTTAGATTCAGAGGCCTTCAAGGTCTCTGCTGACGTGTGAGCTCTGTAGCCTCTGAAGCAGGAAAGAATACGTATTTTGACCAAGTATCTCATACACATTGGAGGTCACCAGTGAAGCTGTCTTCTCTTCTCCTGGTGACTGTTTTCTGGGGGCAGGATCCTTGTGCCTAGTTCTTCCTTGCTCCCTCTCCCTCTGAAAACAGCACGTCCACTTCAAACCTTCTCCACGTTGTTTGTCTCTGTTCTCATTCTTGCATTCCCTCCTTTCCTTTCCTCTCTCCTTTCTATCCCCCTTAAGCTCCAGAGATCTTCATACTCAACTGGTGAGCTATTTCAAGGATCTTTTTCCCCCTCTTGCTCCCCACAGAGCCCCACCATTCTGCCTATCCAGGAGGGAGCTGATAGCAGGCCTATTAATCATTATTTGGGCAGAATTAAATAGGGCTTGTGCTGATTTATTTTATGCCCATTTGACATGAGCTAGAATCATCAAAGAGGAGGGAGCCTCAACTGAGAAAATGCCTCCCTAAGAGCCTGCTTAAGGCATTTCCCTAATTAGTGACTGATGGGGTAGCGCCCAGCCCATGGTGGGTGGTGCCATCCCTAGGCTGGTAGTTCTGGGTTCTACAAGAAAGCAGGCTGACCAAGCCATGGCGAGCAAGGCAATAAGCAACTCCCCTCCCCTGCCTCTGCATCAGCTCCTGCCTCCAGGTTCCAGCCATGCTTGAGTTCCTTCGAAGATGAACAATGATATGGAAGTGTAAGCCAAATAAATCCTTTCCCCCCCAGCAACAGTAACCCTAACTAGGACAGGAATATAATACTTCTAAGCTTTTTAAACTCATTCCGTGGGATGAGATTACATAAGATGTTAGGCTGATACTTTATTTAAACCTTTGTGTACGTGTAATAATTATTACATGGGAATTGGATTTGATGATAGATTACTGGAAAATGGGTTGGTTATGCTCCTTAGATATAATAGCTTACACTGAAAAACCAAAAGCAGATCTTAGAACATTTGCTGTAGTCTTGGCACTATAACCGTCTGAAAGCTGTAGTTTTACAAGTTATTCTTGGGATTAAGTAGCTTGTCAGTGGCAATGGGACCTGAGCAGCCCATACTCTTCTTAGGACCTGAACTCAGGTAAAGCTGGATTCTCAGCACAGAAAAGAATTTCGGGACAAGTGAGAGTAAACCAGGTTTGTTAAGTAGATAAGAGAGACGGGTACAAGTGCATGCTTGATTTAAGCACAAGGTGGGGAGGCGGGAGCAAAAATAGAGACAGGGAGACAGAGCTACCTTTAAGGAAAAAGAACACATCTAAGACATGGGTGCAGGGCTTCTCAAGAGAGCCATGAGTCATTTTCTTTACAGTGAATATATGTATTTTAAGAGTTACGATGTTTAAAGGGTATATAGTTCATCACAAGGCTTAACGATATAGTTTCAAAGTTAAGTAAAGTTTTAGAAATCAAATAAGAATATATGAACGGGCTTACTTATTTTACTTAAAATTTTTCTTTTGTAAAAGAAACTATAATGTGACTTCATGTGGTGCATTGCTCAGAGAGGACTGCCGGCACAGTTAGGCCCCAGGGCATAAACATCCTAGGTAAGCACAGAGGCTTGCCCAGAGGCTTGGTTGTTTGAACATCCTTATTGCAACAACATCTTTAGCTTTTTAGGCAGGTGTTTCCTTTTGTTTCATTTTGAACAGGGTTGTGTAGCTCTGAGTACCCTGGAACTCCCTTTGTAGACCAGACCATCCCTGAACTTGCAGAGATCCCCCTGCCTCTGCCTCCAGGTGCTAGAATTGAAGGTGCACACCACCACACCTGCCTCGTTGCCAGTAGTCTCTATTTTGTCATTTGTGTTGAAGTTTCTTGACTCTGAGCTAGAAGGAAATGGAAGCCAGATCTCAGAGTAAAGGGGCCTATTTCCCTTCCCACATACCCTTGTTTTCCTGTCTTTCTGTCCTGCCTCAGCCTGACTGATGACCATTATATTTAGCCATGAGGAGCTTCCACCCCCTAGAGGGCCTTGTTATCTCTATTGAGATGAAGTCAGAAGCAAGAGGACATAAAACTGCCTTCTGGTACCTAGTGGCACCCAACTAAACATCTTCCCAAACCTTTGAAGCTCTGTGGTTTTACAGTGTGACCTTCAGCCACATATATTGGATCAGCTGGGGTTATTTGTATTTCATTATGTTTTTAGTAGTTTCTGAAATGTATGGATTTGCATATGAACATGTTTTATTTCAAGAATAAAGTTAGCTGGTGTCTTTAAGAGGGTAGCTTAATAATCTATTCTTTGTTGAGATGCGTTAGGCTAGTGAACCTCTCTGAGAGGAACATGAAGGGCTGTCTTCGTGGAGATGATCTTATGCTTCTGTAATGCTCTGTTTCCTACAGAAGCCCAGGAAGAAGCAGTGTGGATGACTCTGGGGAAAGAGATGAGAAGTTCTCCAAGGCCATCAGTTTTACACAGGAGTCAATAAGCAGAGCTTCAGAAACAGAGTCATTGGATGGGAACTCACCGAAAAGAGTCAGTATCTGCTGTTCCTCAAAACCTACACCCAGTGCCAATTCCTGTTAATCATAAGATCAGACCAAGTCAGAGATGCAATGTATTCAACGTTTTTAAAAGCTTGGAATGTCTGGCTGCTACTTTATTTCAGGAAGAGAATTTAAGTCTCTAAGTAGCAGAGGTCACATAGGGTTAGTATATACTGTTCTTCAAAGATGACTAAGGCACAGAGCTGCCAGCAGGTTCTTGAGCAACATATATTAAAACACCAAGTACTGTTTAAAATATAACAAGGCATAGGAACTTGTAGTTAGCGGAATTGCCCCAAGAGTGAGGAATACGTGTGATGGAGAAAATGTATTTTGAATGGGAAGAGATGAGCTGTTTGCATAGGTTTGGTCACAGGGAATACTTTTTTTTTTTGTAGATACTTTTTAAATAACCCATTAAATATGACAGTCCAACTGGGATTTTTAGTTAGCTGGTGAGCTTCCTTTTTTTTTCTCAAGTATCATATGTGTACTAGCTTTAAAATGTACTGAATTTCAATCACTTGGCGTCGTGATTTTATTTTTTTTTAGACAGGGTATTGTCGTGTGTCTTGGACAGGCCTCAACCTGTGTCATAGTCATCTTCACTCTCCCAGTACAAGGGTTGTAGGCACTTACAAATACATCTGGATCATTGTTCCTGTTATCTGATACTCAGTGTGTCTCCCCTGCCAATGGCAGCCCCTTCAGAGGGGCTTCTGTCTTTTTAAACTGACCACTAATCTCTTGTGTTTCCTTTTTTTTTTTTTTTCCTGGTAGAGCAATGTGTCCCATGCACATTAGAGTCTTTTTTCCCCCACAGACACAGGGCTGTTTTTTCTGATGAACCATTTTCTTAGTGAAGAATAAGGTATTTGGAGGCTACCTTCTAAGAGCTAGGTGCTTTGACACAGCTTTTCCTGTGTCCATCAGACAGTTAGCCTGCTGGTCTTACCTCTAGTTCTATCCCTGAAAGAAGTTGTCCATCCCTAGTAGTGAATGGGATGGAAAAGAATGCAGTAGGTCAATGATATTCTTGTTGATGTACACAGAGGTTTTCAAACTCGTGGGTTTTTTTCTCCCAAGGAGTGTTTTAGTGAGAGTCTCAGGTCTTAGAGATTAGCAAATGTTGTTTATCTTTCACTTTGATTTTGTTTTTTAACTTTCATCAAATTTAAAAATAGCAAAAATCAGAAACAACTAAAATTAGTATTCCTTGTGAAACAACTAAAATTAATATTCCTTATGAAATACAGTAAACTATTTGGAGATAAAAACAATACAAATGCCTACAGTTGTTACTTTTTTCCCTTTCTTTTAAAATTATTAAAATTTATAGATTTATTTTATTATATGTGTTTATTTTATGTGCATTAATGTTTTGCCTGTATTTATATCTGTGTGAAGGTGTTGGTTTCCCTGGAACTGGAGTTATAGACAGTCTTAAGTCGTTGTGTGGGTGCTGGGAATTGAACCCAGGTCCTTTGGAAGAGCAATCAATGCATTTAACCACTGAACCATCTCTCCACCCCCATTCTTACTTTTTATATAGGGATTTACAGATATTTCTATAAATAAGAAATAAAATTTAGCAAGAAGATAACAGTGTGGAGCTTTGCTTGGCTCTTGAGAGGCTCTGAGTCCACTAAGCAAGCATATTGTTCTCTACTATGTAATTCCCAAATGTATCAACTCTTGATTGTAACTGCATTGTCTGCTTGAAGAATCAGTTCTCTGGATACAGTAGTCTAACTCTTTAATAAGTTGTGTCCTGGGTCCCAGTTACCACTCAGCTTCCTGACAGACCAGTGGTTAAAACCTATGTCCTCCCTGGAGCTGAGTATCCATTCAGTGCTAGGCAAGGATCTTCTAGAGCAGAAAAGTGAACGGCTGGATATATGTTTTGTATGCCCTTTTTATCTGTGTTCTCAGGGCAAAGAGGAATTTTTCTGTATAGTTAATACATATTTTATACTTACCTTACTGATTGTAGTTAGTTCTATTTGAATCATTACATATTTTATACTTACCTTACTGATTGTAGTTAGTTCTATTTGAATCATAACATAACAACAGATTTACATTTAATGCCCATCATTTACTATCTCTACCTACTATTATGTCTATTACTATAGAAATGACCTGTCCTCATTAATCATGCTCAGAAAGTATACTTAACGTATTTTGGTATATTTTAATTCTCTATCTCTTAGTCTCTTAATGGTAGGACCAGTCGGGCTTGTTGTGAAGTTAATCTCCTCTCCCCACTGCACCCTAAATGACTTCTATCTCTTTATGGTCCTTCCATTTCTACTTTAGTTTCTGGTTTTGAGAGAGGCGGGCTAAGGAACTAACTTTGGTTTGGCCTCTCAAAAGACCCTATGGTTCGATATCCTTGCCTTCTGTTTCCTTTCCTTTGTGCTCCACTCACATGCTGGTAGCTTCCTTTGAATCCCTTTTATGTGATGTTCTTCAGTTTGCCATTCACCACTGTGTGAGAACACTGCAGAAAGGCCTTCGTTACCTACTAACATACCAAGGGTAGCATTCAATCCTAACAGAATGCTGTTAATATTTTCCAAAAAGCAGCATTTCAACCCTGTTCTCTTCATGTTTAATATTAAAGTTCTTACTGTTAACACCTACGCTTCAAATTGGTTTAAAAAACAAACAAACAAACTTTTAAACCAAATTGTGTGTCTTTTAGGGATTCGGAAAAGAGGAGTCCCAGAATGAGAGACACACGAGAAAAAGTCCTTCCCTAGCTACAGAAAATAGACTAAGCAGAGCGCCCTCCAAGTCACTGGACTTGAATAAGAATGAATACCTTTCTCTGGACAAAAGCAGCACTTCAGATTCTGTGGACGAAGGTAAAGAATTTAAATCTTAACAAAATTCCAGGCATGTCTTCTAACATGTTTACCTTTGTGTTAGGAGTGTGTGTGTGTGTGTGTGTGTAATGTGTGTGTAGAGTAAGGATTCGATTGTGGCAGCCTTGCACTACAGAGAACCAGAAAAGGAATGGATGTGTGTAGAAAACAGGAGACCAGCTAATCAGTCTACACGTCTTTATTTCTCTCAGCCTGGAGTTTGAAGGTCTCTGTTAGAGTGACTTAGAATTCCAAGCTTCCAGGACTAGGGAGTTAGGGCATAGTGAATATCTCAGTGCAAGCACAAGGACCTACGTTCTACCCCTAGTACCCACATGACAAACCCAGCATTTGGTGGCCATGGTCACACAGGTCTGCCCTCCCAATATCAGCAAGGTAGGGACAGGCAGATCCTTGGTCCCATTGGCCTGGCAGCCTCTCATAATCAATACATTCCAGATCCCAATGAGAGGCAAGACCAGGTCTCAGAAAATAAAGGTGCCTGTCTCCTGAGGAACCACACTGAAGGTTGTCTGGACTTCACAGACACAGGCACACGTGTACACACACAAACAAATGTGCCTGAATGTGTTCTTACACACACATACATGCGCACGTGCACGCACACACACACACACACACACACACACAAACACACACTCACAGGGCTTCCATGCAGTGGACACAGAGCAGAAAAGCAAATCAGTGGAAAAGCAAATCTCTTACTAGAAAGCCTGAATGCCTCTCCTACAGGCCGAGGTAAGATATTCCCGTTGTTACTGCATTTAGTCTACCCCTTCTCTACCTATAGCAAAATAAGAAATTGAGGGTTTTGTTTGAACACATGTATGAGTTAGCTGTGCAGAGGTTTGGATTGAGGACAAGATCTTTTGATTCCAGTCTTCTTTCATTTAAACTACTTCCCAAGTTTTTTATTATTACTATTAATTACTATTACTATTAAAGATAGATTCTCACTGTGTACTATTGGGTGGCTGGCCTATAACTCACTTTTTAGTTCTTTTGAACTCCTAGATCTTCCTGTGTCTGCCACACTGCTGGGATTAAAGGCCTGAGTACTATGACCAGCGCTTCCCAACTTCTTTTCTCTCTTCTTTTTCCAAAGGGACATCTGCTAGGTGCAGTGATGCACACCTTTAATCCCAGCATTTGGGAAGCAGAGGCAGGCGGATCACTGTAAGTTTAAGGCTAGCCTGGTCTACATAATGAGTTCCAGATTAGCCAAGGTACATAGTGACATCCTGCCTCAACCAGGCAACCAACCAACGAACTAACCAACCAACCAATCAAGGCTCTGTTAACCTAATTTTATATATATAAATTATATTTATATTTATATTTATATTTATTTATATATATATACACACACATACACATCTATATATATGTATACAGTTTTATGAAAGCAAGTAGTCACATTCTTAGATAAATATTAATTTGAATTACTGTATGTGGCTTCCAAAAGGAAATACAAATGTCTAGAAAGCAACCCTGTTTAAAAGATTACCTGCCAGGCAGTGGTGACGCACGCCTTTAATTCCACCACTTGAGAGGCAGAGACAGGTGGATTTCTGAGTTCAAGGCCAGCCTGGTCTACAGAGTGAGTTCCAGGGTTCCAGGATAGCCAGGGCTGTACAGAGAAACCCTGTCTCGAAAAACAACAAAACAAAACAAAATAAAGATTACCTTATTGATATTACTTAAAGATTACTATTCCACTCTGTATGGGTGACATTATATGCTTTTGACTTTGGTTATCTTTTAGAATATTTTCGAGAAATATTTAGAGATAACTTTGAAGACAGAAGAAGCGTGATCACACCTCATGATCATTTCTGGATTCTTTTATTACAGTTGGTATATATTGAAATTTTTAAATTTAAATTAATTTTCAAATCACTTTAAATTTTGTATTAATTTATTCTCTCATATATTACATCCAACCACAGTTTCCCCTTCCTCCTCGCCCCTCCCCTCCAAAATCCACTTCTCCATGTCTCTTCAGAAAAGGGCAGGCCTTCTAAGGATATCAATTAAACATGGCATATCAAGTTGCAGTAAGACTAGGGACATACCTCATATCCAGGCTGGATGAGGCAACCCAGTAGAAGGACGAAGTTCTCAAGGGCAGGCAAAAGCGTCAGAAACAGCCCTCACTCTCTGTTTGGAGTCCCACAAAAACACCAAGCCACACAACTATAATCAAATCACTTTTAAAGGAACATTGAATACTTGAAATTTTTTTTACAAATAAAACTGCTAATAATATTGCATATGGCATTTAAATATTCTACATGGTATTTAAAATAATGTATGGGGCCAGTGAGGTGGTTCAGTGGGTAAAGGTGCTTGTCACCAAGCCAAATAACTTGAAAAAAAGAAAATTAAACAAATTATTTGGTTTAAGAAGACCAATAGATTTAGCTAAACTCTAATGATGATGAATACTCAGAGTCTTTACCAAAGAAAGTCCTTCTTTCAGTATCAAAGGTATCAGATGTGCTGCGCTCTGGCTGCTGTTTTTTATTGTATGCTTTATATTGCTGCACAGGCTCAACAGATAGTATCCTTCCTGATATCCCGACTGTAATAAAATAGGGAAGGACAAAAACGAAGCAAAGAGCAAGTCAGAGAGACCAGAATAGCACCCTTAACACTAAAGGTAGCCAAGTTAGAGGATAATCCACTTAAGTGTGCCAGAGGTAACAGGGCTGCTGACTGAGCAGAAAATGAGGATGACCCCATCAGTCAGGCCAGCCACCCTCTGAAGAGGAAGGAGGGAGATCAGCCATGGAGCAGCAGCAGCTGCTGCTGAGGGTACCTGAGCTTCATAAGACAGGACCGACAAGCCTGCCCAGTATGCCCCTTCGATGCTCACACATTATATTAGGCAGCATGAGCTGCCGTGACAGATACCACATGACTCAGATAAGAACAATGTCATTCCTTAAAGTTCTGTAGGGTAGAAGCCACAGATCAGACCCAGCCAAATTGCCCTCTGGTGAGGACACTCTTGCTGGCTGTGGATAGATACCTTCTTGCTCTTTCCTTAGTGTGTGCCCAGGAGGTTAGGGGAGGAGGAAGAGGGAAGCAGGGAATAGTTTAGAATATAATAATCAAGCCCAAACAAAACCAAAAACCCCCAACATTTAAGGGAAACTTCCTGGCAAGCCATACTTTTAACTTTCTCCAAGTGCTCATAACCCATGGTTATTATACAGTAGGTTTTATAAGAAGTCTTTCTTGATATTTTATTTATTTACATTTCAGATGTCATCCCCTTTCTCCATTTCCCTTCCCTAGAACCTCCCTATCCCATTCCCCCTCCTCCTTTTTGCTTTTATACCATTTTAATTACATGCAAGTATCAAGGTCATTTCTAGGTTGAGGAACTAGCAATATAATAGATGCAAATACTCAAGGAACAAGCAAGACAATAGACACAAATAGTCAAAGAACAAGCAAGGCAATAAACAAAATTCCGTGAACACTCCCATGATCAGTGTTTCGCCACCAAAATATCTGAGCCAACTTCCCTGTCCTAGCCCAAAGTCATTTTCATGTCTGAAGCCTACTTCCTTGTTATAGCCTAAAATTTAGATTCCTGTCTGAAATTACTTTGTTCTAGCCTAATGTCAGATTCCTGCCTGAAGCTCACTTGCTTGTCCTTGGCCAATATCCAATTAAAAAAAAAAAAAAAAAAAAGAGAAGTCTTTCTTGAAACTATGGACGCCTGCGTTGAAGTCAGTGCAGTAGGTCTGTTGGGGATGATGAGTGGCAAGGCCTTAATAGGGCTCCTGCTGGTACACGTTAGGATGAATGGGTATGAATTAGTCACGTGCTGCTGGACTGAACCCAAGACTCCAGGAAGATCTATTGTGGCACCCAGTGGCCAAATAGGCAAGTGACACCAAAAAGAAGAGTTATTTTCTCTTTGTTCAAACCTACTCTTAAAAGAATCGTCCTTAAAAAGTCATTTCATTGTTGAGTTCCTAGCAGAGTAACGTTAAACTCAAAAGCTTCACACACATCTAAGAATAATGGAAAAAAGTGTGTAGTTTCTACACCTGAGCTCTGGTCTCTTTGTGTTCCTTATTTGTGCCTCCTTAAAATCTGCCTGGTTTAGCAGTGAGCAGCTACATGGTTTTCCCCCTAGTGTTCTTAAAGCATTGGGTTTTTCTTATTAGATTATCATTAGATGATAACTTGGGTACTTCCACTATTTGCATAAGTGAATCTCAAATCTCAGGCCTGTCAGATCTTTTAAAGGGGTATAGTGATGAACCTATATTTTTCAATCTCAAGGTTGTAAAATGATGATGTCATTGGCAGGAAACGAACTATCGAGAAAATAGGGAAAGTCAGACGAAGTAGACCAACTCGGGAGATTTGGGCATCACTGTGGGAGGCTAGAGGGAACCACTGGGGGATCTCTTCAAGCCAAACACTGGTTAGGTCTTTTGTCCGTTGTCATTATTTGTTGAGACAGGATCTGACTGTGTAGCCCAGGCTGTCCAGAAAAGCTGGTCATATAGTTCCCGAGACCCTCCTGCCACTCCTCGAGTGCTAGATTTTATATGCATCACCACACTGGCTAAAATGAAACACTTGGATCTATTTCTTGAACAGAAAGAAAAATGAGAAAAACCTGCCTTATATATATGATTTACTCTAGAGCCATACATCTCCACAGAACTAGTAAAAACAAAGTATCGTGATAGTACCTCATGGAGAGCATCAGTGTACCCGCCCCCACCTCAGTCCGTACCTATGTAGGACATTTTATGCATCCTCAAAACGACAGGCAACATATGTTTTAAGTTTCATGTTGCTGTATTCCCCCTGTATTCATCTGTCTCATTCCAAATTATTTCTACTGGCCACCTTTAAACTGATGCTTCAAAAAATTGTTTGAAATTATGTGCGTTTGTGTGTGTATGCGCATGAGACTGCTGGTGCCCACAGAGGTAGGAAGTCCTTGGATCTCCTGGAGCTGGAGTTATAGAGGTTGTGAGCTGACTGTCCAGTGTGGGTGCTGGGATCCAAACTTGGGTCTTCTGGAAGAGCAACCCCTTCTCCAGACCCAAAGATGACGTGTTTTTGTTTTTGGTTTTTGGTTGTTTTTCTATATTGACGATAGCACTCTGCTCCTGAGTTGAGCAGTGTCTTTTCTGCATTTAAAAAATACCACCTGCCAGCTTCCTGTGCTGCAGCAGTATTATTGGTATTGTTGTTTGCAGAGAATTGAAATGTCAAGAATTTCATAAACGGGAAATCCAAAGCAGGAACAATTTATTTCATTTACCTATTTCCTTCAACAAATTCCCATGCAGAATATATTATTAATTTCTGATACTGATATAGCAAATTGTACTTTTATCAGTCATAATTCAGAATCTATCACCTAATGGGGCTCAGGCGAAACATGAAAATATTATAGTGAAGAGTGTATATACATGTAATCTTTCCATTTTCAATATGAATGAAAAGCTTACTGTTGAAAAGTTATAATCTCAGGGCTCCTTGAAAGAAGTGGCTGCTTCTAGGTGTAGAGAAAAATATCAACTAAGCTTGGCAGACATACTTTCCGTTGTTAAAAAATTTGCGCAGCAAAAGAAAATCAATAGAGTGACAAGACATCCTACAAAATGGGAGGAAGTCTGAGCCATATCAAACAGGGATTAATATCTGGAAAATATTTAAAAATTAAACAGCCAAAGAGCAAATAATTCAGTTTATAAATGGGCAAATGAGCCTAAAACCACTTTCCGAATAAAAAAGTACAAATGGCCAATAAATACACATGAAAATCTTCAACATTCTTAGCTCTCTGGGGAAACTAGATCCTTGGCCATGTAGCAAGTTTGAGGCCAACTATATGAAATTCTGTCTCAAAAAAACAGACAACTTCCCACCCCCAACTCAACCAACCAAAAATAATTACATTGAGATTCCATGTCATCCCAGTTAGTACTGCTATCATCAAGAAAACAAACAAACAAACACCCAACAGGTATTGGTGGGGGTGTGGGAGAGGAAGAAACTCTCAGGCACTGCTGTTTAGGGTGTGAGCTAGTCTTTTCTGAGACATATGCCCCTTACCCCGCTGAGGTAAAAGTCAGCTTCCTAGGGAGCCCTGCATGCTCAGTGTTGTCACTGAACCATTTACAGGAGCCAAGAGCTCCTCACCCTTACCCACATCCACTATTCTAGTTTATTCATGAAGAATGCAGGCCAGCCCAGACTGAAGGCCTCTATGTAAAATGACCTGAGCAGCTCTCTGGAATCCAGGGTTCAGAAACATAACAAAGAGAAGTAAATGGTGAGAAGGCACCAGGGATTAGAGCAAACTAAAGAGATTAGGTTGGATCCTTGTATAGAAAGAGTCTCCTGCAGAAATTCCACTGTATCTATACTTGTTTGCTTCCATTGTGAATATTTGGTTTTTTTTTTTTTTTTATCATGAACATATAATACTTCTGTGTCTGAGAAAGCTTTTCCCAAGCCTGGCAGGGAGGCTATCTTGCAGAATCTTAGCAAATTACCTAATTTCAGCAGTGATTTCTACACTGGAGGAGCCCTTTGAAATCTCAGTGAATCGTTCTGCCTGTAAATAGTGTTTTTTTACAAGAAGAGGGTAAATCAGTATCTGCATGGCGTTTGTAAATTCTTTACACACACATCAATAGTGAGATGGAAAGCAATCATGGTCGGTCGGGCAGAGTTCTGCTCTTCTGCTTTGTAGACCATTCTCTTTCATTTAAGCACACTGGTTCCCAAAGGTTAGTACCAGCAGAGGCTCTACATACATCACCCTTGGAGCTTGGTTTCCAAGGTTTGGAGCTTGTGCCATGGTTTTTTATTGTGTATTGGTGGAGAATAAACCTTGAGATAGTAACTAGCTACTATCCTTTGTCATTAAATCATTAAAAGTTTTGTGTTGGGTTGTTTTCGCTATTTCTGTTATATACCATGCTTCTGTTTCTGCCTTTTTTTCCTATCTTTTTCTTTTTTCCTTTTTAATAGTCTTTTCAGTTAAACTCTTTCTGGCCATGTAAAATGAAGGGTACTTTTTTATGTGCTGGAGTGAATTCAAGTTCCAGAGCAGTCACTCCTGACCCCAACATCTTGGGGATTCTTTCCATGCTGTACCTTCCTCCTCTGTAGAGGAAGATGATGATATCACTTCTTCCAAAGGACTGTGTATGGCTGAGATGTATCAGTGCTGGAAGGTGATTCGCACAGTGTCTGACACATAGGTGACTGTGAACATGGCCTGCTGTGCTGCTTCCGAGGGACGTTAGAGGTGAACAGACATTAGTTCATTGGCTGTGGTACTATTCAGCAGATGCTTAGCTATCAGGTTCCCAGAGGGAGCAAGTACTATTCCATTGGACATTACTCAGCTTTGGAGAACACTCTTCAGGAGGAATTGTTATTCCCACTTTAATGTAGGGTATTGAGAATATACCGAGTATAATGATCCCTATCTGGGTCAGCCAGCAGTAAACCAAGTGAGCTCATTCAGGCTAACATGTTATCACATGCAGCAAATAGAACCACCAGAGAAGACTTAATATTTCCTGAATGTATTCAATGGTATGACGTGAAATGGCTGTGGTAGATATTTCTTTTATCATATATGAAACATTCATTTGCGTGGTATCTTATAGAAGGAGCCTGATATTATTCCAGATAAGTATCTATATGTGCATAGGTTTTAACAATTGAAAATTGTGATCTTGTTTAGTCAAGTACTTAGATTTATGTTTAACATAAATATTTCCAATTTGTAGTTTTAGATTTCTGAAGTAGAATAGTCATATTTAAAAACTGTTTTGTGTCAAGATCAAAACAAAACAAATCCTTCCCCCCAAGCGTTGAAATTATCGTTCCTTAATTTCTTCTCTTCTGGTTTGTGTTTTGTTTTTCTAGAAAATATTCCTGAGAAGGATCTTCAAGGAAGACTGTATATCAACCGTGTCTTTCACATGAGTGCTGAGAGAATGTTTGAACTTCTCTTCACTAGCTCACACTTTATGCAGAGATTTGCTAATTCTAGAAATATAATAGGTTGGTCCTCTGTCCTTACCTAATAGCAAATTTGGGAGGATTTTCCTTGGAGGGTTGGAACTGATATTGGCTGGGGGGAAATTAGACACACTTTAATTTTAAGGCATTGGTTTTAAAACTGGTATTTAAATGTTTGGTTAAATTCACATGTGACCAATACAATTGTTTAATTAGGTAAATGTATACTTAAAATGTATAAGATTTATATCCTTAAAAAAAACTGTGGTCATTAATTAATGTACCTTTTCAGTCTAGTTGAACCCTATTAGAAAGGCCTCCGTCATATGACAACCAGATGTGGGTGGAGTGTCCACTGAGGTAACCATGTGGCCAAGTGGCCAGGTAGTATCTATTGCAGCTGTGTGAACTCCTGGATTCAGTCCTTACACTCTGAGGTTCACAGTCATCAGAAATGGGTGTGTGTGTACTCTGAAAGCCGCTCACTGGGCCTGTGGCAGCATCATCTATGATCTCAAACACCCATCAGTCATAGACTAACAAATTACTCGTTGCCACTAAAGAGCACCATACAACAATGCCAGCGACGGTGAGCTCTTGCTGCTTATGAGGAAACCTCACAGACACAGTGTTTAGCAAAACGAAGCTAGACACAAAGCATGCATGCTGTGCAATTTCTTGGCAGAGGCATGGAAGTCCATGTGGTCATTGTCTTTGTGGAGGAGTAGATGGGTGAAGCCTGGGCTGCTTTTGAGTGCGAATAAGTTTTATGTATTAGTCTAAATAGTAGTGCCCATGTGTGTTTCTCTTGTGAAAATGACAGAGCTGTGCCCTTTTGATCCAACTACCTATAATATAATGAAAACGTAGTTTTATATAAGTAGCTGATTATACTCCAGACCAATTTCACTGCTCATATGATAAAAGTTCTATATTGTTAAATATCTCAAATAATTTATAGTAAGTTTTAAAATGAATATATGTCAAAGGTTCCAGATACTTTGTTAACTTTGAGAGTCAACCATATGAAATTAGAATGCAGCAGCTGTAGACATTTGTACAAGGTCAGCCATTTCACATGGTCAGCGAATCAATTCTGTAACCTGAGGATTTTGTTAACCATTAGGTTATCTGAGACTTTCACAGAAGCCTAAGTACATATCCACTGATAAGATATCAGTATGGATTCCAGGTCCAAAACTGAACGTTCTTATTTACAGTAGAGTAGTCAAGGGATTCTGTTGATATGGGATTTTGTGATTAGTTCATGAGTTTCATGGCTTTAGGAATCATTTTTCTATTTTTCCATTAAAAATACAAACTATCTAGGAGATGTAAGTTGCCCTCTGCCCAGTGGCTCACATTTAACATACTGTACCTCTTCTGAACCCGGTTTGCACTTTGCTATTCATTTCTGTCTGGGGAACTGGGTCCTTATGAAGAGTTAGGTATGGTTCATTGCGTATTTACTGCCCAGTGGTTGTTGATGATGTAATGAATGCCCTTTTTATGGTTTTGAAGCAAGCACCACAGGTTATTACAAATTGATAGGAAGTAAAGTTTGCTTTTTGCAGCAAAGCTGCACCTGTTATGTAGTGTCTCTCTGGCTTCAGCGTGGTTGGTTATATCCACTCTCTGGTGTCATAAATAGCTTTAGAAGGCAAAGGCTTCCGGCTTATTTAAAGCCTGAACAGTTATGGGCACATTACAGAGTAGACCTAGAATGAGTCCAGACACCTTTCTCTAAAAGGTAATTGTTCCTGACTGTAAACCATACTGTTATTCTTAGAACCTGCTACCCAGCAGTCAATGTTGTCTTTCTTCTTTTCTCGCACTGTGTGTGCATGTGTGTGTGTGTGGCACACAGGTGTGGAGGTCAGAGGTAAGACAACTTTCACCACGTGGGGTCAGAGAATCAAAGTTGGATTGTCAGGGTTGGTGTCAAGGACCTTTACCTACTGTTATGGTTTGAGTGAAAAATGTCCGCCCTTCGGCACTTGAACACTAGGTCTCCAATTGGTGTCGCTGTTTGCAGAGCTCGTGAAACGTTTAGGAGGCCTAGTCTTGTGGAGGAGGCATGTGGCTGGGGGCTTTGGGTCACAGTATTTTATCACAGCAACAAAAGTAAACTAAGACATCTCCTGAGCCATTTCACCAGCTTCATAGATCTAATTTATTTTAATAAGGAACTTTTAAGTTGGCAGTCTCTTTAATTTCTGTTTACAGTTGCATGCCATTACTTCTAATTAAAAACTCAATTTAGAATATTTTTTTTCATTTAGATAAATGTAAACCTTCATAGAAGCTTCATGACTAGTATAATAACATCCATATTTACTTTCCTTAGGCTTCTCCTTCTCAGATTTTAAGATTGTAATAAAATGTACATGCTGTAAAGGAAGCAGACAGTTCAGAGACGTGACATACACGCTACCACCACACGCATCTCCAGATGTTTTTCATCAAACCCAAACAGAAACTCTGAACCTATAAATGATAACCCTTTATCTGACCCTCCCCAGTTCCTGAGGGACCACCATTCCATCTTTTACACTGTGAATTTAACAACTTTTGCTACTCCATATAAATGAATGTATCTAACATTTGTTTTTTTACTGTGTTTTCCACTTAACATAATGTCTTCAAATCCTTCCATCCATGAGAGGACACGTAGCAGGATTCCACATCTTTTAAAGGCTGAATTATATTCTGTGCATGCGTATATAACATCATATTCTGTATATTAATTCATCCAGTAATGATCCATGGCCTGTTTACAGCTTTTAGCTCCTGTGAAAAAATGCTACCCAGGCCGTTAATATGTGAATATCTACTTAAGTCCCCACTTTGATTTTCTCTCAGTGTGTATTAGTTGTCTAAAAGTGGATTGTTTCATCATAGGGTAACTTTGTTTATTTTCTTTTGAGGCTTACCCAGTTCTCTCTGATTGCACCATTTTATAATCCTATCAGCAATGCATAGAGACTCTGTTTTTTTACAGAATCATCAACACTGTTCCTTCAGATTTTATAGAACAGTCACCTAATTGGTGTGAAGTTTCACCAATTTAAATTGTTTACTAAAACAAAGAATTCTTAAAGTATTTTGCAATTCCTGTCTTTTTATTTTTTTTTAACATTAGCACCATAAAAAAAAGACAATTTATCTTTTTGTCTGTTGTTATTTTCTTACGATACCATTCTTGATGTTTTATCTGATAAAGAACTTTTCTTCAGTATTGAGGACTGACTCTTCCAATATTATGTTAACCAGAGGATGTTTTCACAAATGATAATTCAGTAGCCCTTGTTGGCAAAGTGGTAACATGCATGGAGAGACAGAATTTGATTGCTACTTTATTTAATGGTATATGCTTGTAGTAACAGGATTCAATAACTTTCAATTTTGTTTCTGATTAACAGTGGATTACCTGTGTTTTCCTGGAGTAGGCTGACATAGGACCAAATAACCTGAAAAGTACTTTGAAATTAAGTGGATATATCCTTTCTTATGAATGCCTAAACATGTTGCATTTATAGCACATTCTGAATGGTAGACTGTACAGTGTGTGATGTTGCCCTTTTAAATGTAGTTATGAAACTCTGATAACTCAAAGGCTTTCTGACCCTGCCTTAAACCCCTCCGCCTAAGTGTATAAAAGAAGCTCAACAAGAATGGCTCTGTCTCCAAGCTAACCCTTTGACGATAGATGGATTAAAGCCGGGCGCCTGTAATGAGAAAGCTGACGTAGCAGTTAAACCCAGGGAATGATCATCTCTGTGTGTCCGTTCGCCATGTAGTCAGATCTTTGCATAGAGTTCACGATGCTTTCACGTGTAATGATTTTCACAAATGTTGCTGAGTTTAAAGCTATCTCTATGTGAAGTGTGTTTTACTCATAATACAAGAGAACCACAAGCAAGATCTAAAACTTCTGTCACCTAACAACCAGTAATGTCTGTCAAGTGGTCTCTCTATAGGCACAGGTCTTAAGTCTTGTTGTTGAATAATGGCAAATGTCTTTTAAACATTTTCTCTTTAGTGATGATGTATTCAAGTTGTTGTGTTTGTATTTTTTTCCCCCTGAGACACAACCTTTTTCTATGGCCCAGGCTAGCCTCAAACTCCCTATCTTTTTGCCGCAGCCTCCCTGTCTCTGGTATTACAGGTGTGATCTTGTTTCCATCATTTCCACAGGTTTTGGATTTTAAAAAGAAGTCCGTCTGTAGATGAATCAACCTTTAATTTTGTCTTCTAAAAACATATTAACAGTTTAGAAATAATTAGACAAGAGATGTGTGTATGTTACTGCTTTTTAGAAAGAGAAATTACTTTTTTTTTTTTAAGATTTATTTTACTAGTTGAGTGTTCTGCACATGTGTATTCATTCCTGTGCTCATGGAGGTCAAAAAAGGACATCAGATTTCCTGGAACTGGAGTTATAGATGGTTGTGAGGCACTATGAGGGTGCTGGGAATCAAACCCAGGACCTCTTCAAGAGCAAATGCTCTTAACCACTGAGCCATCTCTCCAGTCCCTATTACAGCTTCTTAAACTGGATGTTGCTGACTGCACACATGAAGTCCTGTAAATGAATGTGGAGGACAGGTCCCCAAAATTTGTCAATAGTAACAGGCTTCTGATTAAAACTTAGATCCATGGTGTAATGGCTCTGCGGCAGTTCTGGCACCTCCATTGTTAAGAATGACTTTGCTGAGGCCTGGGTTCTGAGCGTACAGTGTGTGTAACCCTGCATGATGTCATGACGCATGTTGCCAGCATATGCTATCTGCAAAACCTTGGTTCATACCAACAGCTTTCTACCCTCATAAGAACACAATAATTTAATTATGGAAAATAAGAACATTCATTATTCTCCTACCACCATACTTAAAATTTCCATACCAAGTTAGCATATCTTTGGGTTGTATTGTGTTAAACGTCCTTTTTTTTTTTTAAAGCTGTTTGAGTTGCTGACATGACTTTCATCTTAAAAAATTATGTAATGAATTTGGGTATCAGATTAGGAAAAAAAAATCTTAGCAATTTCTGAAATGCCTGTCAACATATTTCATTCATTCTGTACCACACATGTATAGCAAATGACATTCTCATCAGTAACTGTTATAAAATCAACCTGTGAGACTCTGAAAAACATTGAAGGTACTCTGGCATCCTGTGTATCAAATCCTTAGCCACCACGTACATCCCTTGTGTAGAAGTAAATGGACATATCCAATAGCATGTACACTTGCTTGTCTCTATCTTAAATGGCAAAATTATAGGAAACTAAAGAATTATATTACAATGATGTCTTTATGGTTTGTTATCCATACGTGTCTAATTTGTACACCTATTTTATATACCTGTTGCCCAGAGTCACATAAGAAATTCTCTGGTGAAAGGGGTTTATAAGTGAAGACAGTTCAGAAGCCCCTGATGATGTATCACCTATAAGAACAATAACTCCTATGTGATCTTCCTTTTACATTAATGGGGGTTAGGACTGCTTGTAATAGGTAATTCTCAAAATACACCTATGACTCAATTTAAAGTCTTTGTTTGCTATGGCTAGATGTGGTGTCTACCCCCTGGACGGTTGAATCTGGAGGCAATCAACTGAGAACCATGACCTACACCATACTCCTGAGCAACCCGCTTACCGGGAAGTACACTGCTGCCACAGAAAAGCAGGTATGTGACTCGTCCGGATTCCACAGGAGTTCTGGCAATAGCTCGAGGGAGGATGCCTGTCACAGGCCAGAGGGTCCCACCCACCCATGCCTAGTCAGTAGACCACCTGTTGGAGAGTGCTTGTCAGATCTGAGGACTTTTCATGTCATTTGCAGTAATAAGATTGTTGTTTTATTTTTAATAATGGTGATTGCACAGATTCGGCCATAGAATCTCAGGCATGCTAGCCAAACACTTGACCACTGGGCTGTGTTCTCCAGCCTACAGTTATATTTTAAAGACAGGCTATTTATTTATTGTTTTATTGTTTTGGTTTTTTTTTTTTTTTTGAACAGGGTTCCTCTGTGTAGCCTTGGCTGTCCTAGAACTCTCTCTGTAGACCAGGCTGGCCTCGAACTCACAGCCTACCTCTGCCTCCTGAGTGCTGGCATTAAAAGCTAACATACAAACGAATCTATAGAAATATAAACCGAAGTATTGTCCAAAATTATATTGATGCCTCAGATGTCTTTGAAAACGAACCTGGAGCTGTGGAGGGGCACTGGTAAGGGCAGAGGTGGGGCTCACATGGAAGAAGACAGGGCGGTAGTTAACATGGAAGAAGGTAGCTGATGAGCTCCTGAGGGTTCACTGCATGCCCTCCTGTACATGTCTACAGTTTTGCATAATAGAAGATTTTAAATATTTCTAAAATCTAACCTATAAGATCATGTCGGGAGAGACCTAAAGATCCAGATGACTGCTGTGACATATGGTCTAGGAAAGTTGCTTTTAAATCATAAACACAGCCAGTGCTCCCCTCAACACCTAGAGTGGCACTGGCTTAGAGAGGAGTGTGTTTGGCCTGTCTGGGCAGGAGCCTAGTGCATCAGAAGATCACTGCAAACATCGTGCACACTGAAGAGGTGTGTTGTTACAGTTTTCCCATCAGTGTTCAAGGAAATGTGATTCCCTTATACAAGAAGAGATCAGTATTTTGGAGTAGGAGAATCTTCTATAAGCTTAGAAGCCGTTCCTTCCTCCTTCAGTGATGGGTAGAAGTGTGTTTAACTGAGAAAAGTTTAGCTGACAGATTCCCTAACTTCTGTTAGGGAAAATGATGTTCTGTCTCGTTGCTCCATTTTTTAGCTTTTTTTTTTTAAGTTTGGCTTTGTTAAACTTTGATGAATGTGGGAGTTAGGGCCCTCGTATTATTCAATTGATTTTTGAATTGTCAACTTTAATTTTTTTTTAACTTAAAACTCATTATAATCAAGAAACGCAGAAAGATTATGCGATTTGTTTTTCACTCTGTCCTAACTTGTCATAAGATTTTTGATGTATTTTGTATCTTTGAGAAGGAACTTCAGTATCTGTGTTCTAAATTTCTGGGGAACATAAAACACATTGAAAATATGCATGTAAGCATTTTGACCTTACTTTGGCAGACACTGTATAAAGAGAGTCGGGAAGCACAGTTTTACCTAGTAGATTCGGAAGTGCTGACACATGATGTCCCCTATCATGACTACTTCTACACTCTGAATAGATACTGTATCGTGCGATCTGCAAAACAGAGATGCAGGCTGAGGTGAGTCCCCGCAGGTGCATGTGTGACACCAGCCCTGAAGTCTTAGTCAAGCACCGCAAAGCTTTGCTTCCTGCTTAAATCACATGTCCAGCAGTGGTCACGAGAGAGGTGGGAATCTGAACTCAAGACTGAAACTGATAAAGGTTTTGACATCCTGGGGCTTCACAGGCTAGAAGAAAACGTCCTTTAGTTGCCACAAGAAAAAAAGCTGTAGAATTGGCTAGAACTAGTTCTACGATCCAGTGTAAGGGTCTCAGGGGTCAGGAGTTTAGGGGCACGCATGGTGAGCCATAAGGTCCTTCGTGCCGTGGGAATGAAGAAGGCTGGCACCTTGAAGAGGGATGGCCATCGCAGGCTTTGCTTGGCCCTAATTAATAGAATTACTTTTGACTAGTGTGTGATCACTAGAGATCCCAGAGGCATTTAGAAATCTATTTAATTCCTTAGCATTTACGGAAGCCTTCATTGCTATTAGGCAAGGGTAGAGTATTCCAATTTGATGAGGTTATTAGCAGCTTACAATGTTTTTAAAAGAAGAACAAATTTTATTTTATAATAGTAATGGCATTTAATTCTTTTGGCTTTTCACAGAATGCAACCTCACGTTTCATTGCAGTGAAACAGCTAAAGTAGTCTGTGGCCACAGTCCCCTGAACTTCTCTGATCTCCTCTGCTGGCTAAACTCTGTCTCTAAAGATATATTATTTTCTTCTCACCCTATTAGAGTCTCGACAGACTTGAAATACAGGAAACAACCATGGGGCCTTATCAAGTCTTTAATTGAGAAGAATTCCTGGAGTTCACTGGAGAACTATTTCAAAAAGCTTGGTCTGTAAAGCTATCACGCATCTGTATTTACCAAGGTCTCATTTATTAGCAAATGAGCTGTTCTTCATTAGGACGCAGGGAGAGGCCAGGTGTTGATGTTGGAATAGTCACTGAACTGGCTCCGGTTACCTTACTTGCTCTGCCAATGGCAGGGTTTTACACTTTCGGTTACCGTCACTCTAACGACCCTTACGTAGTGCTTATTGTATGGCCTGTCACACAGTGAAAGTTTACGTACATCACACTGTCAACATTTCAGTACTCACAGAAACCCTGTGAAATACAGGTATGATAGCTTTTTCCCACCTTACTGTCGAGGAAATCAAGAGTACAGTTAAGTGACTTGTCCAAGACACACACTCTGCCTCTGCAAGGAGCCACGGGGTTGACCACAACGAGAGCTTCCAAAACTAGTTTATAGTTGTTCCTCTTGTCCTCTCTGACGTCTGCAGGGCCCCAGGTCTACACCTGTGTTCTTAGCTGCAGCTTTCCTGGGGTTCTGTAGGCCCACTTGGCAATGGTGCTGTGTTCCTGTGTGGATTTACTGGAGGCGTACCGGTAGCTGACCATGAGAAAGCTGTTATGCTGGGATATTTCTTAATATATACTGAAGGGAACATTGCCTATGGGAACATAATTAAGTGTAGTGAAGGAAAAGCCCGAGGTCAGTCATCTCTAGAGACTCAGGGCTGTATGTATGCTTTACTATGCTGGTTGGTTGTCCTCCGGCTCTTTTCTCTTTGGCTGTTTCATTATTAAACTTTTCATCAGTGACAGAGAAAATGAAGCTTAAACATTAGTTTGGCCCCTGGCTAATGAGCTTCTGATGAAGAAGACTGAACAGAGGGAAGGACTAAAATAAATGACCAAAAAAAAAAAATGAGATAGGTTGTTTCAAGATCCCCTTTACCAGAGTTTTCTTTCCAAACATTAGAACTTCTACATGGTACTCTGTCCTTTAGGATTAAGAAGCACTGACAGACGCTGCCTTGGAAACCTTTCTAACGAGCTCGTGGATGAGCTCGTGGATATGTGTGGAACCGTTGTTTCCATAACTGAAGCCATTATGTTAATATTTAATAGAGCATGTAGCTAGTTTCCACTGCTGCCCCCATCACTTATTGATACACATTCTTCCTAGAATAATGAAGCCTCACTGTAGGGTCATTAGAGTCTCTAAAGCTTTTAATTAAGAAGAAAGTTTGAACCTAGTCTGTAAAATGTGACGTCTAATTAGAAAAGATTATCAAGGCTCAAACAAGCACACCTATGCATGTACACACATACACACACACATTACCCAGGTCTTATAGTTGAGAAAGCTTCCTCCTTATCCTTTTGTTTTTAAAAATTCTTCTTAGAATCAGATTTGTTAATGGAAGAGTCTGTGTTGAGTCAATCCACTGAAGATGCTGGAAAACTTAACAGCCTGCGCCGGAGAAGGCGGACCTTGAACCGGACAGCGGAGCCAGTTCCCAAGCTGTCTTCTCAGCGCTCATCTACAGATTTGGGCTTCGAGGCCAAAGTTGATATTACAGGTAGCTGTTGCTAAGACAGCCTGAGGATGCATGAGGTGCCTCCTGTCTGTGAGGAGTGTCGTTTAAAGAAGCCTGCCTTTCTCTTCTTTTTGATAATATTTATCAATGCTCTGAATTTCTTAACAGCAGCTACTATAGAAACCTAAAGGAACAGCTGGGACATGGCAGGCATATGGCGAGTAGAGTATTTTATTTGGCCTACACAGCATTTAAAGTTTTTAGGTTGGTTGTACTGATACAAGCGTTCAGTCCTAGTGCTCAGAGGTAGAGGCAGGTAGATCTCGCTTAGTTTGAGGCCAACCTGGTCTATCTAGTGAGTTCCAGGCCGGCCAGGATTACATAGTGAGAAGCTACCTCAAAAAAGAAAAACGATTGGATATTTAAATAAAACATTATGTCTGATAGCCCTGTACCAAGTCCCTTCTGACAGTCTGTGCTGTCCAGCTGGGCTCTGTCCCCAACATGAGCCACTAGCCCCAGACTTCTGTTTATTTCCTGCTTAACATCTATAGACATCTGATGTTTAACTCTGAGTGTACTGTTGAGGGCTAGCCTAGGCAAACTGCAGAGATGGAGCTTGACCGTCAGTTTGGTAGTATCCTTGCTTTACTGTTATCCCCTCCCCCTCAGAGGTCTAAAGCTGTCAACCTCTCCTATCCCCTAGAGTACCAATCCTCCACTAGATTTTTTTTTTTAACAGACTTAGTTCATTTATTTTTCTTTTTATAAAAACCCTTATGTGGTAGCCACAGCTGGAGCCTGGGTCCTCTGAACAGAGACTCCGGTGTGGGTCTTCACAAGATGGTCAGTGAATTCCTGATAAGGAGACTTGGTGAACACAGTCTCTTTCCAGAGGTCGGGGGTCAGGTAGCTGTAGGTCTTGGAGATGGCATCGAAGGTGGCCTTGGCAAAGTTGCCCAGGGTGGCAGTGCAGCCCCTGGCTGAAGTGTAGCAGTCGTCTATGCTGGCCATCATCAGGAGCTTCTTAGGCACAGGAGCAGAGACAATGCCAGTGCCTCTGGGGGCAGGGATGAGACGCACCAGCACAGAGCCACAGCAGCCTGTCACCTTGCACGGAACAGTGTGGGGCTTCCCAATCTTGTTTCCCCAGTAGCGTCTCTGCAGAGGGACAATGGAGAGCTTGGCCAAGATGATGGCCCCTCGGATGGCAGTGGCAACTTCCTTGGAGCACTTAACACCAAGACCAACGTGACCACTGTAGTCCCCAATAGCGACAAAAGCCTTGAACTTGGTCTGCTGGCCAGCCGGAGTCTGCTTCTGCACTGGCATAATCTTCAGATCCTCATCCTTTAGGGATGCACCCAGGAAAAAGTCAATGATCTCAGACTCCTTAATGGACGGAGAGAACAAGTCGATCTCCTCCAAGGACTTGATCTTCATGTCCTTAACTAGGCGGCACAGTTTGGTGACGGGGATCCACTCCTTGTCTTCAGCTTTTCCTCCACGAGCACCAAGGCCTCGACCACGGCCACGACCTCCACCACGACCCAGGCCCCTAAGACTGCTGCCGAATCCTCCGGGGAAGTCACCGCGGCCTCCTAATCCTAGGCCCCGGGTGGGTCCTCCAGGTCCTCCTGCTGCACCGGCGTCATCTGCCATTTGGTGTTTTCCCGAAGAAGCCTCCACTAGATTTTTTAGCTTTGCATAACCACATCTAGCCACTGATTAAGATCAACGGCTTTTTAAATTTGAAATGTGAAGATTTAGGCCCCAGTGATTGGTGATTTCTTTTTAAAGGAGAGAAACACTGTGTGTTAGCTCGACTCAGCTGTTCTTAGCAGAGATAGTACTTAGCTGTATATCATCCACTGTGTATTGAATTGACTGTTTAATTTCATAGTAAATTAATTTGTAACATTATCTCAAATGTGAAGAATTACCATGCGTTAGCTCATGGTGGGTTTGTTTTATGTTTTAACCAGGGTATCGCAATTTCACTCCTAATTGTTTTATCTTTACAAATGGCTTGTTGGAGTTAATTTCAGGTGATTGTTAACTTTCAGCAGTGTTCTCAGTCCTCGCTCTCACCTCTCACCTACAGGAAAGAGAAAGACCGTGGACAGTTGTGACACCGCCCTTATTGTGGTGATGAGTGTATTGTAAGTATTCCTTGTCCGTCTTTTGTTCATATCTTCATTTATTTTTAAGTAGGTCCCCAAAGAATTGTAAGGCATTTGTGGGTTTTTACAAAAAGGACTTACTTTTATTTTATGTGTCAGGGTTTTGCTTGCCTGTCTGTGTGCAGTCCCTGAAGAGGGCAGGAGGTCCCTTTGGAAGTAGAGTTACATACACTCTAGATTATCCTGATATAGCAACCACACTGTGAAAAAATATTAGACAATTAGTCTGATGCTTGTAGTACATTATAGGAACCTACCTAGCAAGTCATACCTAAGAGCTCTATGTGGCTACATGTGAGCCTTGAGGAAGTCCCTCGATTATAGGAATTGTTTCTGATTCTGTGGTAGACTGAGTGGTAATTTTTAGAATGAAGCTCTTAGCTGTTTTTCCTTACTACAGATTTCAGAGCAAGCAGAAAGTACTTGTTATCCTTTTTAGTGTTTGCTGTCATTTTTTTCGAGGTGAGGCTTGCTATAAAGTCTTAGCCTTGAACTATCTCATGATCCTCCTGCCTCAGCCTTCTTTATGCTAGGACAACCTCTATACACGCCACTGCCCTTAGATTTCTTTTTGGGTTTTAGAAAAGATTTATAGAGTCTAATTAAATCAGTTTTCTAGGACAAACTGATGACATTTTTGAATGACATTATTATATTAATTTGTAGGAAAGTATACACACACACATATACATATGTACATGGATATGTACACATTTATCACTTCAGTGCCATGATAATTTAACAGATTTAATTTGAGGCAGGTAAATCTTTTAACAACAAAATAAATAAAGATGTATGCTACTATTTATCAGTTTGTATACATGTGTAATGAGATCTCCATTCATTTGTAAAGCTGATATTAAAAATAAAACATTAACTTTAGATATAAAAATTTTATATGTACCATTATTAATATATGCTTGGGATTTATCTGGTACTTTCTTTGTTCAAAGAGAATATCTATCTATCTATCTATCTATGCACTTTTTTTTTGCTTCCACTGGGAATAAGAGATAACATCGTGATGTTCCAAAAATCAGCTGCATATTGATTTTCATTTCATTTTTAAGATGCAGTTTTATGGGTGTGTAATTGCTTAAGCCAGTGTAACCCAAAAATAGACCCTGAAAGCTTACCTGGTAGGTTTCTAAACCGGTGGTTGCACAGGACTGGCTGGGACTGAGCAGAGAATGGAGAGGGGTCAGAGGCCATCTGAGTAGGCTATTCAAGGAGTTTTCTCATCACATTAGCCATTTCCCATCATTCTCTTTGGCATCTGTATAATACTTGAAAGTACTTATTTCATATAATGAAATGGGGATAATTTACTGGAATATAGAAAATGGTGTAGATCATATACAATTGAAAGCTTTTGCATATTATATTATTTTACTCTTTTTATTTTTTAATGGTGGAAGGGACTCTTGGGGTGGGGTCTGGCTTTGTAGTCCAGGCTGCCCTGTGGTCTCCAATCACAATAGATCCTCTTGACTCTGTGGTGCAGTGCGGGTGCTGGGCTACTTCTGCTGCCGGGCCCGGCAGGTCAGGTCAATGTGGTTACCCAACTGTCATTTACTCTGCAGTTTGCTGCTGCTAGTTCTGCTGAATGTGACGCTGTTTCTGAAGTTGTCAAAGATAGAACACGCCACCCAGTCCTTCTACCAGCTTCACCTCCAAGGAGAGAGATCTTTAAAGTAAGTTCCCCACCCCAGCTCCGCCCGTTTCTACTGTCTGTTTCTTTGCTGTAGAAGATTTACCTTTAGAAATTTTGGTCTTCTATATCCTGTCATGCATGCTTAGTTCCCCCTTCCCCCACCAGGGGTGGTGGTGGGTTTGATTTTATTTGCAATTCATGGGGCCCAATAATTACTGTAAATAAAAGATAAGCAGCTGCTTTCATGGTTTAAAATGTTTTTCTCTTCTAGTTTAGTCTCTGACAGGTTCTCAAGAACAGAAAATATTCAAAAGAACAAAGATCAGGCCCACCATTTAAAAGGAGTACTCCAAGATTCCATATTAATGTTGGAACAGGTAGGCCAGTTCGTTCCTTAGGGGATGGCCAGGTCCTCAACTGGGCAGGCTTTAGACACGCCTTCTCTACCGTTGCTTAGTAACTCTGGTCCTGCCTCATCATCCTCTTTTGGTTCAGGTTTTTCTCTCACTCAGTGGATGACCGTGCCTTATAGAGAAGAGAAACCTCCTCTCTTCCTTCTATAACTATTTCTGCAAATTGTCCTGTCCTTAACCCCTTTACTCTTTGTGATTAGTGCTAGGAACACCTGGCTCAGCTTAGTGAAGCCCATGCTTAGCACAGTGCCCGACCTGAAACAGATAATCCCGGTCTGTTGAATGAGCAAATGAATGGATACAGTACAGAATAAGGTACATTTCTTGGTCTCAAATTGCTTCGATTTTGTGAGAGAAGTCAGTTACCCTACAGGCCTTCAAGTCTGTTTTTAAAAGTGCAGAGTTAAGTAGTATAGAAGTGTGACGTAGGTAGTGCTCTGGGAGTTCTGAGGCAGGGTGTCAGGGAAGATCCGACGGGGTTAGTAGGTACAGGTGAGTTTTAGAACTGTGAAGAGGATCTTGAGTGGATTAGGAAGGCGTGGCTCAGCCATGGGGCTCAAGGTGTTCAGGGAAGAGTGGAAATACCACTGAGTCTTGAGGAATGTCTAAGAAAACAAGCCTTTCCTTCTGGATAATCAGATGGACTTCCTGGAAAGTATACTGCATGAAAAACTATGGCCCTCTAGTACCTGGTAAGAACTGTCTAGAATTCATATAGTAGATGCTGGAGAATCAGGTATTTGATGATCTGTTTTATTTGAGCATCCCTGTCTATCTGTCTGTCTGTCTGTCTTTCTGTCTATCTATCTATTGATAGAGATGCTCAAATCAAATACATACACATATGTATACATACATACATACATACATACACACATAACGCACATACATCTTTTGGAGTAAAGTAACTGGCAAAAATTGGAGTCTGATTTTTGATCATTTTGTTTGCAGCTGAAGAGTTCACTCATTATGCTTCAGAAAACCTTTGATTTACTAAATAAGAACAAGTCTGGGGTGGCTGTGGAGAGCTAGTGCTGAAATATGGAAATAAAAGAGACATCTGGACCTAGAAGGCAACATCTGGAAGGAAACGGAGGATGAAGACTCTCACTGTCATAAGGACATTTCTGATATTTTTATTACTTGGGATTTCTACTAGGAAAGCTGTATTTAAATAACATTTACTCAATGATTACTCTCCAATAGCCTCAAGACTCTATCTTTTCACTTCTTATAGATATTTTTAAGCTGTGAATTTCTCCAGTGAACCATGAAATATATTTTGGAATTGAAATTCTGTAACACAAAAGGGGAAGGAAGGCACCCTGAGTATGATGGCTTCTCTCTATAGTGAGGCTTGTTACTTGATCCTTTAAATTTATGTTAGCACAGAGTCCCTGTGTGTGCCCAGGGGCCTGTGTTTGTAGCTGAGTTTAAGAGCCTAAAAAGGTAAGAAGAAACCCCTCAATCATTTGCCACCTTAAAGGATTGTTTTCCAAACTCATACATTCCAGGTTTGTATCTTTAAATTTTACAGTGTCTTCATTGACTTGTTCTCAAGGTCAGTGGTCAGACCTTTTGTATGTCTGAAAGAGTCATTGACCATGTTATATCTGAATGAAGGAGTATATATGTATGTATATATATACACATATATACATGTAAATGTATACATATATACATATGTGTATATGTCTGTCTGTCTGTCTGTATACCAAAGGTGAGATTATCCTTCATATATCAAAAAGACTAAACAGTAATTTAGGAGAATGAAGTATATAGGCTGTTAATGCTCATAATGAACTACTTTTAGTTTTAGAAGCCATAAGATGATTATCCAATTTGGGCATTTCATGACGGATCAAATGAGTCCATGAGTTATGCTTGGATTCAGCTTAGCAATGCCCATGATGTACGTGACCCATTGGATGGAAAATAATCGATCACTTTTCAGTAGCAGCTACACACAGCTTCATCTTTTCTTACACGTGTAGCTTGTCTTGCTGGCAAATTATAAGCTGGAGACAAACTTGCGCTCGGCAGTAAAGACTGGAGACATGCACGCTGACTGGAGTTGAGAGGCACAAGCTTGGGCTCTCAGGAAGGCTTTTTAGGCACTGGTGTCAGTACCAGTGGGTTGTGAAAATAAGGACTTTGTAACCTGACTTGAAATTAGCTCCATCCCCAAGGATTTAGGAAATGTTCAGGACATATTTATTGGTTTGTTCTCTAGAGGTTTTTCTAGAACACGCACATATATTTATCCTTATCGAATATCCATTGTCTTTAGTCAATGTTTCCTTTCCCTCAGTGCCACCAAAGTCAAATGTCACTGCTAATAACATTTTTGAGAACCCCTTGGGGAATAAAAATACTGGCTAAAGGGAAGGGTTTCTCTTCATGAATCCTAACTAATCTCCCTGGGGAAGGGGGCTTCAGAGTAATACCTCCTGTTTTGTTTTGTTGTTTGTGATAAGAATATAGGAAGTATCTGGCTGTGAGTTAGTGACTGGATTAGAAACTTCAAAATTTAGAAAAATGGTAACTGTCGAAATGAATGTTTTTGTGGTTTCTCTTAAACTACTTTATCATATACCTCAAAGATTACCAACGTCGCTTTGTAGATAAAACACTAAATATATATGTAGAATTAATGAGATCTTAATCTGTTATGTATAGATGGAAGTCAATAAAATCCAAAATGTCTAAATTGTCGTTTTTCTTCAGTTTCTGCTTAAAAACCAAACCTAGAAAGCCTGGGGTAGGGAAAACCTGTATGTAGGCCCACAGTTCTTACAGATTTGTGCTGCGACAAAAACCCAGAGAGGACTCTCTTGGGCAATTTCATGGCAAATGCGCAGACTACTGAATCAAAAGTACCACAGAGGCCTGGCTGGAAGGCAGCCCCAACCTCCAGGACTCTCGAGCGTGAACAAGTTGGAGAAAGGGCTTGGGAGCTACAGCGGGCCTCAGGGGAAGGTGGGCGACTCGTGGGGTGGCATCTCTGAAGGCGGCGACGGCGCCGATCGAACCCAACGCCTGTTGCGGGCACCGGAGGACCGCAGGCGGCCGGCGAACTCAGGCGGCGCGCGGACGCCCGGGTCCGATCCCGCACCCTAGCAGCACCCCGAGGCGCCCGGCGCAGGTGCGGGGTGGCCCGGCCGGAGCGCGGCGGGGGAGGGGCCTCGTGGGCAGGCGGCGCACGTGCGGGCGGCGGGATCCCGGCGCCGGGGGCGGGGCACCCGGAAGCGCGCGCCGACCTGCGGAGCGGCGACCGGGGGCGACTGCCTCGCCTGGCAGGCGCGCGCACCGGCGGTGCTCACAGGTGGGCGACTCCGCCCGGCACGCCCGAGCCCGCCGTGCAGGGTCGGAGACGCAGCCGCGCCCCGGGGAGCCGGTCCTCCTCCCGGTCCCCGCCTCTGTCGGAGGGCAGGTAACTTCCCCGCCAAGGTCATTCTCCAGGCCCGCCCACGCCCTCGGAGCGGCGGGTTCCGAGTGGGCTGGACGGGCGACCTCCGGGCTGCGGGGGCTCCTGGCATCCCCGGGCCGGTGGGTGGTTGCAGCGCCGGGGCGTCGCTGCCTGTACCTGCGAGGGTGAGTTTCCACGTCGCGCAGCCTTGGGGTGGGAACCGCCCGGCCCTTCCGAGTCGGCACCCGCAGGTGAACTGGGCCGCCCCAGCTCTGCTGTCCCGGGCCGCGTGGTCGGCTGTCGCCATGGGAACGGCTGGTACCCAGATGTTGCTTGCCAAGCTGGGAAGGGGAGGAGAAGATGCTGGGAGCCCCAGAAGTCAAGGAGACCCCTGTCAGGCCACGCAGAGCCCGAAAAGCCTGATGAAACAGGACCCCTCCCCCCTTTTAATTTTGTATTGCTCAGGCGTTGGCGTAAATGAGAAGCGAAGATGTGTTTACAGGATGTGAGTTGAGTTCTTGCCACCTTTACCTTCTGAGAGCTTCTTATGCCTCATGGTGACAGGTCCAAATCTTTACACCAAAGGGCAGTATGAAGCCAGTAAAAAAAAAGAAAAACGAAGAACCTGAGTTGGAGCCCCTGTGCTGTTGTGAGTACATAGATCGAAATGGGGAAAAGAACCACGTGGCTGCCTGTTTGTGTGATTGTCAAGACCTCGATGAAGGCTGTGACAGGTAAGCTTACGGTTTCCAGACGCTGACCCCACTGGTTCTATTGAGACCTACATATATTCTTTCAGGTTTGCCGTCCAGAATGCTGAGGTTTGCTCTTGCTATTCCGAAGGATCTAAAATAGAGAATTGTTTTTGCGGTCAGGTGTGAGAATTTTATAAAAACCAGTTATGTAGCAGCCTACAGCTGTGCAGTTCAGTTCATGAGGACTTCAACAGTTTCCGTTTTAAACCGTGATGGTGGGGGATAGTAGGCAGATTAAATGTATTAAGGAGTGCAATCCAGCACAAACTGCAAGTTTAAATAAACACTCGAGAAGGTTCTTATATTCTCGGTGATCTTAATAGAGCCCATGAGTGGGGTCATTCTCACTTGATCATTTGGGCCTTTGGAGGGTAAAAGATGGCTTTTCTGCTCTCAGCTCACCCCTTACTTCCTGGGAGAGAGGTCATGTACACCCTGTAAAAAGTGACTGTTCTTATGTGAGCAACAACACCGTCCTGATTGTAATATTATCTTATCTTTGGCCTTTACTTTCACCACAATCTCGGGAATGGAAATTGCTATCTAAAAAGAGAGTTTTTAGCATCAGTTAAAAATATTTTGTATCAAGCAGAATAAGCTAGTTTTAGCCATTTTCCTAAATATATATATTTTAAATCTCTACTTATGGAAGGCATAATGTAAGAGGAAGAGGGATGTTGGAGACAAGCTTTTCCCAGAAACTGCCCCTTCTGGTTACAAAGTGACTGTGACTATAGATTGTTATTCAGACCAAGAAAAGCTTTGCATGGGGACCACTGCAGTCTTCTGTCACACTGGACTCTTAAAGCCCATAACCTCATTGTTCCTTGTCTTTTTCTATAGTATTTCTTTTTAAATAGGTAGCCTTAAATATAGCTTCTTTAGACTTAGTCTAAAATCCATACTGAGAAAAATAGAGCACTCGGCGCTAAGGAATGGAGACAGGATGCTGTTTCCATAATGGCTGTCACCCAGGACTGCATTTTTGCCATTAACTTTGCTAACTCTTCCTCTCTCCTAGCCCTTGGGGCCTGGGGTGTCCCAAGTTTTCTCCTCTGTCCTGCCTTTTCTCCTAGAGACAGGCTTTCCTGTTCCCACAACCCCTGCTGCTCTGTGACTCCAGGTGATATCTCTCATTCACTTTAAGGCGTGTCCAGCCTAAAAAAATTGTCTAAAGTTATTTTTGCTTAAACTACCTTTTCTTTCTTGCTTGTCTTAGTCCACTTAGGCTGCTGCAACAAAATACTTCAGAGTGGGTACATTACAGGTGATAGAAGTGGACTGCCTGCTACCGTTCTGGAGGTGGAGAAACCCAAAGGCAAAGTGCTGGCAGATTTAGTATCTAATGTGACCCCTCTTCCCTGAGGATGACACCTGCTCACTGCATCCCCACTTGGCAGAATGGATGAATGCCCGACCTTCCTTGGTCTTCTTTCGTGTGGATGTTAAGCTCATTCATGCTCTAACCTGTTGACCTCACACTTCCCAAGAGCCCCACCTCTGAATAAGATTGCATTGAGAGTTAGGTTTGCAGTAAATGAATTTTAGTCATAAATATTGGATCCTTAGCAATCTACCTCTTCCCCATCCAAAGAATGGCTTCACATGCAAAATGCACCCTGTATGTACCTCCCAACAACTTCCAATATTTAATTGTTCAAGTGTCAGCACAGACATCTTAAGTCTCCAGAGCGGTCTAGGTGACATCATCTAAATCAGAAATGGTGACACCTATGAAGGACTCTGCATGAGTTTCTCTGCATAGCTGTGGGTCTGTGGCTAACAGGCTGTGGGCAGAAGAGAGGTTAAGAGTGCTTCTTGCTCTTGCAGAGGACCAGGGTTCAATTCCCAATACCCACATGGTATCTTATAACTGCCTGTAATTCCAGTCCTAATGGATCTGACATGGTCCTCTGACCTCAGTGGGTACAAGGCACATACGTGATGCACATACACATACATGTAGGCAAAACACTCATACACATAAAGTAATAAAAAGTAAAGAAGAAATAAGAGACTGTGAACTTTCAAAACACAATAGTGGGACATTCATTGGAAGATATTGCCCGCAGGAAAGAGAAATGAGAAAGAAAAGGAATGACAGGTCCCACTCCCACAGGACAAATGACATTTGTGATGTAAATATCCTACCTTCCAGACGTGCTGAGCTAAGGGCTTGAGAGCTCATGGGTTGGAGTCTTGTGCCTGCACAGAGCTTGTGGGCCTCTGGGTCCACCATCGTGGGTCCTGGTCAGTTCTTCCCCTACAGCTTTACTAGGCACTGCCTGGTGATGCTCTCTGCAGTGGTCCCATACCCATCGGTACACAAGACAGTATCCTCATGAGGGCTCTGGCACTTCTTGGCCTCAGCCTTGATGTTCTCTGGGACATTCTTTGACATCCACACGAATATAGTAATGTTGCCACAGCTCTTGTATTCTGCAGAGCTGTAGAACTGGGAACATATGGTGCCACCCATATCTACTACTGATGCCCTTGGGAGTAGTGGCCTCAGTAGCCTACACTGTACCTGGCTTTATAGAACCATACCTGGGGGTTCTGTGGGACAATGAATAAGGGGAACAGAGATTTGATGTGGTACTAGGGAGTGAGCCCTGACGTTTCATTGGTGTTCTGAGCCATGTTCTGTGAAACCATGCTGCCATTAAGGCCCAAGAATTCTAGGCTTCTGCCTGGAGCACAGCCCCATTCAGAGCTTTAAAGGTCATCTGCCCATTGTCTTAATGTGTACCACAGGGCTCATACATACTAATCTCTGATACTGTCTCCCACACTGACTTTCAGTTACTGTAAAAACAGGTTAAGAAGCCCAAGAACTTTCCAGAGCTTCAAGTTATGTTTCCCCTTTGGTTATACATTTTTTCTTTAAAGTCACTGTATGTGTATTACATGTATGTGCACATGTGTGCTCCTGGTGGACAATGTCTGATGTCAGCTGTCTTTCTGAATAGTTTCTCGGCCTTATTTGTTGAGATAGTGCCTCTCACTGAACCTAGAGCTCCTCTATTGGCCAGACTAGTTGACCAGAAAGTTCCAGGAATCCCCCTGTCTGTCTGCTCCCCCACTCCCCACAGCACTAGACTATAAGCTCATACCTCCACACCTTTCTATTTTTATAATGCATGTGCTTGTGTATGCATGTGTGTTCTGTGGCTTTGATATGTAAGCCAGAGGACAACTTGCCGGGCAGTTCTCTCCTTCCAACATGTGGCCCATGAGGACTGAACACAGGTCATCAGCCATGGTCACAAGCACCTTTATCCAGAGTCAACCTTGCTAGCCTCATGTCCAACTTTTCACATGGGTACAGAGGCTCCACATTCATTCTTCTTGCTGTCAGGGCAAGTACTTTGCCAACTGAGCCATCATCCTAGGCCCTAAAGAAATAGTAGTTGTTGTTGTTACTGTTATTTTGTTGTTTGTGTATGTAGTTGTGTATAGGCCAGAGATGTGTCAGATACCTTATGCAATAGATCCCCATCCTAATTTTTGAGTCAGGGTTTCTTTACTGAATCTGGAGCTCACGGACTGAGTAGGCTGGCTGGCCAGTGAGCTCTGGGGAGCTGCTGCTCCCTCCCTAGTGCTGGGGTCACACATGCTTATCACTGCACTGCCTTTTTACAAGGATGCTGGAAATCTAGACTCACGTTCTCATGTTTGTACAGCGAGCATTTGCCCACCAGGCCTTTCCCCAGTCCCTCCTTTCTTTACTCCCACTGGAGCATGGGTTTACAAGAAGCTGTGCAGCACCCCAACACTTTGATGAGAGATTTCTTGTATTAATACTCTGTTCCATTGCTTCTGAATCCTACCTTCTAAAGAATACTAGGATGTGACCACAGGTCACCTACCTGCTTCATAAAATGATGTTCTCTGCTTCGTCTCCATGTGCTGGAAGAGCCTATAGGCTCCTGAGGCCTCTTTTATAAAGGCCCTGATCCCATTTGTGAGGAGTCTCCTGTGATGCATGACCCAGTCGCCTCTTACAAGACCACCCTCTCCGAGTCTCACTCTATTGTTCGCTCTGGTCCCGAATTGCTAGGCTCAGGCATCCTCCTGCCTCAGGCCTTCTGTGAGTGAAGGTGTGTGTTACCCCGTGCAGCAGCTTCACCTCCTACTGCTTAGGTGTTGAGGATTCGGTTTTAAAATTGGAACACTCAGATAGCAGTGTGCCTCTCTGCAGAGTCAGCAGACCCCATTCTGTGTAGTCATCGGACTTATTTTAGTTTGTTCTTCATTTTTGCTCAAGCAGACTCCTGTCTAGGACAGCCTGATTCACTCCAAGGGCCCAGGACAGGCTTTGAATACATCTACCTCTCTTCGGTGAGACACTCCCTTCCTTTGCTCACTGACCATGAAGGTTAAGTACAGACCACACCTTCCTACTAAGCACCTTTGATGTCTGTCCCCTGAGCTTAAGACTTCCTTGGAAGACCATCACCACTTACCTAATGCCTTTTGAATTCTCACTGTCAAGATTTTTTTTTTAAGATTCATTTGAGTGTACACCACTCAGGTCTAGACATTTGTGTGGAATATGTGTATATACCTGTGTATTTAAGAAAGATTGCTGATAGCTAATATTTATAAGCATTATCTTCCTCTAAAAATGATACATGAATCTGAAAAGCTTATGTACTGAGGGAATAAAATGTTGGCTTTTGGTGTCTTATCATTTATGCTGCTGTTTGACATATGCCCCAAAGGTTTTCATTCACCAAGTCCACATGAAGCACATTCTTCTGTTCTCTCTGAATAGATGGCTTACCTGTAAATCACTTCGGCCGGAGACTTGTGAAAGAATCACGGATACAATTTCTGATCGCCTCCGAATTCCTTGGCTCAGAGGAGCCAAAAAAGTTAATATCAGCATTGTCCCTCCACTTGTGCTTTTGCCGGTTTTCCTTCATGTGGCTTCCTGGCACTTCCTGCTGGGGGTGGTGGTTCTGACCTCCCTTCCCATGCTGGCACTCTGGTACTACTACCTCACTCACAGAAGGAAAGAACAGACTCTGTTTTTCCTGAGCCTTGGACTGTTCTCACTGGGCTACATGTACTATGTGTTCCTGCGGGAAGTGGTCCCCCAAGGGCATGTAGGGCCCACTCAGCTGGCCCTTCTCACCTGCGGGTTATTTCTGATACTCTTAGCCTTGTACCGAGCCAAGAAGAATCCAGGCTACCTCAGCAACCCAGTATACAATGATAAATCCCCAAGCAACAGCCAAATCGAATGCCCAGTCAAAAAAGGGCAGGAGAAGACCAAAGGGTTCCCTGGCACAGATACCTCAGGGAGCCTCAACAACCGCACACTGAAGGACGATGTTAAGGGCTCCTCCAGGGTGGGGCTTGAGAGCCCCACCAAAGTGAAGGAAGACTGGTGTGCTAAGTGCCAGCTAGTACGACCTGCCCGAGCATGGCATTGCCGGATATGTGGTATCTGTGTAAGGAGGATGGATCATCATTGTGTCTGGTATGTTGGAAAAAAATCTGGATTCCCAGAAACTAAATCCATATCCTACCCATTTTGATCTTCTTTTGTGGTGTCCTAAAATGTCTTTTCCTTAGTTTTACACCTTGTAGATATTTGTAGGTTGTGAGGATGTTCCCACTTAGTCATCGGGCTTTTGAGTCTCACAGATTTAGTGCCTTCAGTCATTTCCTGAAGGAGATTAGCAGAAAAACTTTGGGAGGGTTTTTTTTTCTTCCTTTCTTTTTCTTTCCTATCTCTTTTTTTCCCCTTCCAATTGCCTTTTAATTGATTTTTAAAAATGTTTTTAGTAAGGAGCTGTGGAGATGGCTCTGTTGGTAAAATGCTTGCTCTGCAAGTGAGAGGACCCAAGGTCTCTCCTCTACACTCTCATATGAAGGCCATGCTCAGTGCCACGTGCTGCTTGTTATCCCAGCACTGGGAAGGCAGAGACAGGAGCATCACTGGGGCTTGTTGGCCATTCCATCTAGCTGAATTAGCAAGTTGCTGGATCAGTGAGAGACCCTGATTAAAAAAACATACAGTAGAGAATGGTTGAGGAAGACACCACATGCAAGTGTACACAAGTATGCTTACCTACACACACACATACGCACACACAATATCACACACAATCAGTATCGCTCTTTTTCCCTGTTCCTTTTGAACAGAGAATTCTGGGAAGCAGTCCCTGTCTTTAGGTGACTGTTCTCTGGCTGTATATCTTTAACCATTTTATGCAGCCAGGGATTTCCACTCATCATGGTGGAGTGAGGCCCTATCAGATATCCCTGTATTGTTACCTGGCAGGAGATAGGCTTTGTTTTGTACCTTCCAGCCTGCTAGTGACAAAGCCCATCAGGCCCATACCATGTAAGGTACAGCATCTAAAACTCCACTGAGTGACTGAGCTGAAGGAGTGTTAGCACTCAGCTGCGAAGACTGGAAGTGGCAGGGCTGCAGTCATTGCTCTCAGGGCTGTGCTGGCTACGGATATACATTATGTCTGAGGAGAACAGGAGGAGGGAGTGAGACTAGGAAGTACCTGGAGGGTCTTGAAATGGCCCTCAAGGCCATGACCCTAAGACAGGGGCAGCAGTTTCTGGGACTTGTCTTTCCCTGTAAAGGGGTGTTTTCAGTTTTAGATGTGTACTTTTTTTGCCTTTGTCATTTTACCCCTATTATGTACATGTGTCCATGAGCATGGTGGCCCATTTCCAAATGCTTGCTTGTGGAGTATGGCAGCTTGTCCCATGGGGAACCTCTGACCACTGAGCACTCTGAGGTGCTTGTGCAGAAGCGATGGCCTGCGCACTCTCCCCTCATAGAGGCCATGACACAGGTCATTTCTTACCTGGCCTGTCTCCTAGTACCTTGTTCCACACTGCACCATAGCTTTCACTGCTTCCCATCGCTTTGTTGCTCTCCTACATACGACACAGTTTCCTGTTGTGTGCAGGTATTTCTGACTGGACTTTCCAAGTTTTCATAACTGTTAAGTAAACTTTTCCCCATGGCTGAGTAATAGACCTCACTTACTAAGATTTAGGGACGAGGTGTACCAAAGTGGTAAGAGTGTTTGCCTACACTCACGACGAGCCAGGCTCCATCCTTAGTACTACCTAAAACCCCACATATGCATATACACTGCATGTGTACAGGCTCTATGTCTGTACGGGTAGATTTGCTAGCTGTGTTCTGCTTTGTGATTAGTTCTAGCTTTAAACTAAGTGATAACTGTTCTACCCTTCCACAGAGAATGTGAGACTGTCACGCAGTACACAGGTTTTTGTCTCCCTAAAACTAAGGCGCAAACCATAATGGTTTACTGTTTTTATAACTGAAGTTGTTACTGTCCATATTTTAAAGGCTTTCTTGTATACCATGTGAGTTACAGGAGACATACTCAAACAAATGTATTTGTTCCCCCTGCTGTTTTGAGGATAAATAGCTGTGTCGGAGAATCCAACCATCAAGCGTTCATCCTTGCCCTCTCCACCTTCTTGCTCACTTCGGTTTACGGAATATCGCTGACCCTGAACACCATTTGTAGGGATAGAAGCCTCTTCACAGCCCTCTTCTACTGTCCTGGAGTTTACGCTAACTACAGGTAGGTGGTGCCACCTCTGTTAAGAGGGCCAGCGACAAAGTAATAAGTGTTGCCAGAAACAGGGGAGTTATTTGCTCCTAAGTTAAGTTAGCAGTTCTCAACCAAAGTCTAGGACAGGCTTTGGGGATGCTGGGCATCCCTAAAACTGCCAACCAAATAGTGTGGAGATTATGGGTGAACTTCCAGGGTAATATCGGAAGCATCATTGATGGCACACACCTTTAATCCTAGCACTTGATGTGCAGAGGCAGGTGGATCTCTGAGTTTGAGGGCAGCCTGTTCTACAAAACAAGCAAGGACTACATAGAGGGACCCTGTCTCAACAAACAAGGCTTACTTTATCAGGGACTCCCACAGCTGAGAAACTTCTTTGTGCCGGAGGTCGCGGTGTGCTCCTTTTGAGAGGCATTCCTATCTGTGTGGCCTTTCTTTTCTCTCTAACCTCTCATGGTTTGTTCTAATTTTTATTTTTTTTTAATTCACCACTCATGATTACTGTGTTATCTAGGTCAAGATTTCTTAGGCATCATTAGGTAGGGACCCATTTATAAACTGTTGAGATTTCCATGCAGTGCGTAAGTGGGGCTCTTCTGTGTTGGTCTTGCCACTCCACCCCCACACACTGAGGGTGTTCACACCACTCCCATCCTGACAGAGCAGGAGTGCCCATGCCAACCTCCATGCCACACACCAAGGGGTCCACCGCTCCTAGGGTGCTTCCTGTCCATTCTTTATGTTCTTCACTCAGCTTGGGGGCTTCGTGGTCTCTGGTTTGGTTCTCGTCTTTCCTCTCACTCTTAGTTCTCAGAGCCAGTTCTGCTTTTGCTACCAGACACCCCCGTGTGGTGTTAGTTCCTAGTAGTCTAGATCTGGACATTATAGATATTTTGGAGCCACAATTAGCCCTCCCTTCTTGTAGTAACTTTCTTCTCTAGACATATGGAAAGTCACCATGAATTCCTTGGCCGTGACGAAGGTGATAAAGTTGTAATGCAGAATGCCTATGTCCTTGGTGGACTGACTCAAGGGAATAGATGCCCAGTGCCACCACTGTGTCTCACCTCATCTGTGTAGTGGTTCCTGTCACCTCAGCTTTATGGAGAAGTTTTGGGTTGTCATCTGTGAGCTCCTGCTGAGCTTTACAATTGAAGATTCTCTGTGTGTCTTTTTCTAGCTAATTCTTCAAGTGTGTATGCCCCTCCCCACAATTCTTGAATGAGCCCAGAAGATGTTTTCCTGCCCTGTGTGATTTTGTTTGAAATGTTAGATTCCTACAGATATTTTTTATTTTTGAAAATTTTTATTTAATTTACATGTATGTGAATGTATGCCAAGTGTGTGTGACTTCTCACAGAGGCCAGAAGGGGGCATCTGATGGGGCATCTGATCCTTAGGAATGGAGTTGCAGGTGGTTATGTGCTAATACACTAAGGTGCTAGGAACTGACCTCAGGACCCTGAGCCATTTTGCTCTAGCCTGGTGCCTACATGTGTAAAAGAGCTGCCCTCTCTGTGCTCAGTCAGCACTAGATTGCAGACATAACAGTAGCCCTGTTCTTAGGTTCCCATCTACAGCTTCTTAGAGGACACCAATAGTGACTTCCTGGAACCCATTTCCTCCTGAGTTAGCTACAGATTAGGAATTGCTCACTCATTCAACAAACAGGTGCTGAATACTTTGATGCCTGTGAAGTATGATAAATGTAACATGATAGGAAAACATGTACTGACAATCCAAAGGAGAAATGAAAAGGTTTGGCATTCTGAGGATACTAAGACATCCTTTAGTGGGGGTGGGGGTGGGGTGGGTGAGCAGGTGGGGGACTAGAGAGGATGCTCAAGTCCTCACTAACCAGTACAGAATGTTCAGAAGGGCCCCTTTCTCCACAGCTCAGCCCTGTCCTTCACCTGTGTGTGGTACTCTGCGATCATCACAGGGGGCATGGCCTACATCTTCCTCATCCAGCTGATAAACATCAGCTACAACGTAACAGAGAGGGAAGTGCAGCAGGCCCTGCGGCAGAAGACGGGGCGCCGGCTCCTCTGGGGCCTCATCGTGGACACAGGCCAGTACAACAGGGGCTTCCTGCGTAACTGGCTCCAGTTCTCCACCTTAGGCACACACACCGTCCACACCCCTGCCGAGGACATTGTCTGAAGTGCCTTCCATGTGGTTCAGTGGGACATTCCTCTCTGTCCTTTCCATTTCACACGTCAGTATCCATGCAGGATTCATCTGCACCACCCACTTCTCAGAGGTACTGGAGGGCTATGCTCAGGTTTGACGAGAGGACTGAAGAGAGGTAATTTTTCTTCTGCCTTTATAACTTACGGGAGTTTAGTACTGAAGCAGAGAGATAGAGCCATTCCTTTCTGTCACCTTGCTGACTCAGGCACCAGAAGCTGCAAAGCGGCTGTGGATTGCACAAACCATTCATACAAGCAAGAAAGTTAGTTAGAACTAGGAGCGTTCCTAGCCCTCCTTTCAATTCTTAATAGCCATATGACCCTCGGTAGAGTCACTTCCCAAGTCTCAGGTTCATCTGTATGGGGGCTTCTGCTGCCTGGCTACCTCACAGAGCAGCCATGATGGCCTCCTGAGGAGGGATGTGGAAGCACTCCAGTCCAGCCCAAGCACTCGGGGGAACCAGGAAATCAGGACTGAAGCAGACTGCGTGTAGCTCAGAACATTGAAGCCAGTACTGTGAAGACAATCAGTTTGTACAGTTCTGGTCGACCTTGTTCTCGAAGGTTAGCAATGACAAGAGGGTCAATGCTACTCATCTTGTCTTGAGAAGGACAGACGACGAAAATAATTATTATCTGTGCAGTGTGTAGTGGGCAGAAATTAAGGTGACAAATATATTTGTTAATGTATCATTTTATATTTATTATAATTAACAGATTTTTCCCTCCTTCCACATCTTACCTGGGTGAGGCACTGGCGCACTGGTAAGGGTGACTGTCCTCTGAGAACATTTTCCCTCTTTTGTGGCTGTGGAGGCTGATTAATATCAAGGGCTTGATTTTTTATTATTGTTCGTGTATTTCCAGTGCTGTAGGTTTACAGCACTAAATGGGAACATCAGCCTGGCATGAACTCTCTCCGGGGTGACTGACACCTTCCCATATCTACATGGCTGCTCATTCGTCCTACACACATCTCACTAGGAGAGAACAGGGTACATGCGCTTCCCAGCACTGATCAAAACACTGCTTTCCAGCTCTTCCCCAGTACTAAAATTGTTCCTTTGTGTCTCAGAACTGAAACCTGGGGGAGACTGCAGAATGGGCCCTCTTTCTGCCATAGAAACAGGAGATCCATACGAGGAGAACTCCATCTTGGAGCGTTTGCTTTTTACACATGGACTGTTTCTGGGATCCCAAAGATCAGTGATAAGTTGTGAGACCTTAAGTTTTTCTTAGCCTTGTTGCTTCATAGAGGGAAATGGGAAATATGCACTCAGCTTTTGGAGTTCATTTCTGAGAGACAGCAAATAAGAGGCTGTCTACAATCGGACCTTTGTGTTTTCTTAGGCTCTTAAGTTGTTTGTGGGATTTTGGCATTCTCCAGACAGTAGAAGATTTAATTGGGAGTCTTCAAAAAGGCAAGGCCCTTTTGAGTGGGTTGTCCCAAGCATCCATGGATAAGCCAGCAGTCCCTTGACCATGGGAGCAAGTTCTCTCCATACAAGTGACTCCAGCTAAGCAGGTCCTCTTGTAAAGGATCAGAACAGGGAGGGATCTTTAATAAACTCATATGTAGGACGTTACTACCTTGTGTATATTCCCAGGAAAGAGGACTGAGCCCACTTTTGAAAACCTCAAGGAAAAACACTAAGGATCAAGACTGGAAGGAAGGAGGAATCCCTTCCTTGGTAGAAATGTGTCTTAGGAGTTTGCAAAGTACTGTGTAGGTCACCCTCACTGCCTTGTTGGCAGGCCACTCTGACGCCGCTAAAATGAAGCCTTAAATGTGTTTTGGGGACAGTGCTGTCTGCTCCCTCAGCCACATAGTTGCTAGGACATTGTAAATCTCTGCTCTCCAAGCGGCAGTTTCCTCTGATGAATGCATTGACTGTTGTCCCCTGTATTGCCCGCCTAGAAGGAAAACTGCTGTAAACTCTCTCTTACACAATACTCCTTGGTACTCTAATATTTTTAGCAAGAGAAACTTTGTATTCTAGAACTTTTCACTGCCAGAAAACACAATGCCAGTAAGAGTCTATGTAATACTGATACCTACCTAACAGACTTCCTTCTTTTGGGTAGGACATCAGCTATTTACTGTAAAGCTAAATTGACAGAAGTAAAACCCTGTAGAAGCACAGCTTTAACCATGAAGTTTAATGAAAGCAATGCTCCATGGACTCACTCATTTCTTTAAATTAGCCGAGCAGGTTTCTGTGTCGGAACTTCCCGTTAGCCAGATTTTGGTACCCTGCCTTTCGAAAAGGAGCTTTGAACAAGCAGTGGGTTTAAGTGCTGGAGGCACCTGCTTGGAGCCTGGTTTGCTCAGCAGAAGTTTGGCAAGTGAACTGTTTCATGTTAAACACGCAGAGGCCGTGCAGTGAGACTGAAAGCCATGAACACCAAATGAAACTCAGTGAGATTCATCTAACTGTTGTGAAGTGGCCACACCGAGTCCCTGATGCTGATGGACAGCCGTCTGAACATGAGCTGGCTCTGCACATTCCCTGTGGAGCAGGCTGAAGGGCAGAGCACGCGGCTCCCTCCACCCTGGGCTTGTGATTTATAAACACTGGAGATGTCCTGGTGTCACTGTCCACCTTTAAACATCCATATTTAAAAGGGAAAGCTTTAAACCCAGAGCTACTCTGCTCTAATGATACAAATAGAAGTTGTTAGGCAGAGCCGTGGACAAGATGCCATGTCAGAGCAGCAAGCTCATGCATGCTGCCAGAGTCTGGGTGATTTGATGATCTGTTATGTCTTTGGGGGCTTTTCATTTGATCTGATTTCTGCATCGGATGCATTTGATGGTAGACTAAGTGAATCCCAGGAATGGCTTTAATATTAAATTCAATATTTAATATAGATGGCTCAACAACATGAAGTGGGATTCCTCAAGCCAAGCTGGAGGCTGAGGGATGGACTTCACTCTTTTTGTCCCTAAATCTACATGCTAGCACCTCAGACTCAGATGCAAGGCCTCCCTTTAAAATGGAAATTTTACAAACTACTGCCATTTGTGCAAAATAATGTCCTGTGACCACGTTGTTGTTTAAAAGGAAAATAAAGTGCTTTCTTTTATGAAAAGTCTGTGATTGTTGGTGTGTTGTGAAAGCTTTTTGCCTTAAGAAAACCCCATGCTCTGAGCTGTGTGGTCATCCCCATCCAGTGGCCTTTGAAGACCCTACAGTTCCTCTTCCTCTTTTCCTCCCTGGGTTTGTTTATTCAGGTGCTAATTAGCAGCAATTATTTCAGATCACTATGGCCTATCAAGAGTTTGGACTCTTCAAATGGGTCTGTAAGCTGGTATTGTTCCAAGTGGCCCAGTCAACATTATGAGTCCCAAGAAAGCAATTTCTGGTTGACATTTGGGTGAAGCAAAGATAAAGTTTAAGATAGAAAACTTGATTTTTTAATATGACTTATTTAGGACATGTTTACTTAAAGAATTCAGCCTTATCTCTAGGCTTGGCATTAATGAATATTTGTGTGTGGTTTTGATTTTTTTTTTTAGTGTTAATGGCCAATATTTTATAAGTGTGCTATCATTAAGTATAAACAGTGGTTTGGATGGAGTGAAATTAAATATGAATTTAGTTCCATTTTCTTGTGGCTATTCGTCTTTGAAACACTTGTGTTTTTAGTCAGCAGTCATAAGGTATTAAAGAAAAAGGTGTGTGGGCTGCAGTTCCGCTCAAGTCTGGCATTTTCTTGTCTCATGAGAAAATGACCAGAGCCGCTGCATGGTGTGCCGCTGGGGTGGCTTAGGAACTGTGCTGGATCGAGCACATTCACTCAGCAGTGAATTTTACCAATTCAGATGTGCTGGGCTATGAGGAACTTTCTCATTTTACTGTGTACATTTGTGGACTATTTGAATTTGTCACAATAAAGATAAGTTTTATAATGAAAAAATTCCTAGCAGATGATTCTGTGTAATAGTTCACAGAAGGGAACATTTGATCAATCTTTACAGAATCCTAAATATTAGAACATTCTTTGAATTCAGTGTAAGTTGCCAGGCCAAGCAGACAAAGCAGATGGATTACTTAGAAGCTGAGTTGGGAGCATGGCGAGGCATTTTGATGAGGGGCTGCGTGGTCCTTGCTGGAGTTGTTACTAGCTGTTGGTTTCCTTGGTGTGTATCAAGTGCTTGGCTGTCCTGGTTGCTCTAAGATCAGGAGCTGCTGCATCTGCTGTAGATGTGTCAAGTACCTTTAATCATGCTTTGCCATCGGGTGGAATGGGCCCTGCTGGGCACCTGTCACTCATGCAGTGGTCACAGAACACTGGCCACCCATGCCCTCTTTCTAAGTCTTCACTGTTCTCTGTTTCTATCCAGTGTTACCCTCATAGTAGCTCATAGCAAGTGAGAAGGACACAGTCTCCTAAGTCCAGGCAGGCAAACACTCCTCCTTTCCAAGTTTATTATACTAAGAATATATAAAATACACTCAAAGGTGGTGCCCCAGACCATGGGGCACCTTTGGATGACCCACTGTGACACATTACGACAGATGCCTAGCAACCTAGGAGAGATCAAGATGGAAGAACAAATCCCAAGATAATTCCCGTGGCCTATGACACATCCAGAAAGTAAGCCAGGCTCAGCTGGGTGTGTGAGTGGAGATAGCCTGCACACATCCAGGCACCAAAGGCTTCCTTTGGCGGACAAGCGTGTAGCTACTGGTATGCAGCCATCATGATGGTGTCAGCATCTGGAAGTCTGGAAGGATTTCAGCAACCTTCCGGCGGAGTTGGTCTCGCCGTTCCTCTTTCACTCTTTCTTCTTTGGTAAGTTTTACAAATGCCTTCCACGTCTCCAGTGTGACCCTGAGAATCTTCCTTTAAGGGGAAAAGGGAGAGGAGGAAATCAGTGGGAAGTCTGACAGCACAAGTGCTATTGAAAAGAATGGATGAGCTGACTGTGGTGGGTGACGCTGCACAGAGAGCCCAGTGCTGGCTTTGGGTCATAGCCTGTATACCAACCAAGCAGGGCCAGGAATTAGGGTGGGCTTGGGCAGACAGCTATCAAGGTAAAGATAATGACCGACTGTATCCGAGAGAGCTCAGTTAGGGCATCCAGGCCATGGTGTTTCCATAGTTTAATACCTGACTGGCAAGCTCATCCCCAACTACAACAGAAAGGATCGAGAATTTTAGTTGAGAAAAACACATGCTAATGGCAAGGGTGGAAAGATGGTGTTAGGGGTTTCATGCTGAAATGGAGTGCTGTCTGTGGGAAGCATACCCAGATAGCAGTGCCTACACCAGCTAGGCACTGGGGATGCCGAGGGAAGGCCTAACAGTCTGCCCAGTGAGACAGCTAGCCTTCCAGAGTCAGTGTATGGGACAGGACAGTGGTGGAGAAACACAGGCGTTGCCCTGTCTCGGGGAGAAATATCTGAGGTATTGAATGCCTTACTGAACTGAAGTGGCTATTCCCGAAGAGGGAAGTCCTTGAGTAAAGGTCAAGAATCACGCTTAGCATAGCACAGAGTCGTATCGTTACAGGTTGGAACACAAGCACAGGTTGCTGAGGCTTTTTGTAAAACTAGAGGCAGTGATGATACTTGTTCTGGCCTCTTAATCAGCTAACAAGGACCAAGAATTCACCTCGGTCATTATTCATTTTATGGCTGTTGGCCAGTTGATGTTCTGGATGATGCTGACTTCCCAGGCTTGAGGCTGTATCTCTCTCACCTGCTATGTACAGCTCCTCTCTCCTCACTATACTCCAGGCATTCTGGCTCCTATACTCTGGCTCCTCCTAGTCTACTCTTAAATCTTTGCTAGCTCTAGGGAAATGAGTAGAGTAAGCAAATGGATAGACACAAGCTGGTCAGTGGGTGACATGGGGCAGAGCTTAACAACGTGAAGGATGAGATGTTTGCCTCTGAGAAGCATGGGCAGAGGAAGCAAGAACAAAGTGGGGAGAGACAATGTCACAGCAGAGGTTCTACCCGAGCAGATGGACTTCCTTTCTTGTTGATCTCATAGTTCCTACAGTTCAAACTCTAAAGGAACACCATCTTGCTACTGTATCTTTTAGCTTATAAACAGTGAGTTAGGAAAATGACCAGGGAGATGGATGCAGGAGCTGAGAGAGACAGACAACTGAGGCACATAGGAGGAGGCTGAATTCACAATGGCATGAACGTCAGAACACAGCAGTTAGGAGGTGGGCTGAGTACTGCATCAACACACCACCGTTTCCTTGTTCCTGTTCTCCACAGCCCAGAAGGCAAAATCTGTTCTTAATCATTTTAAAGTTTTTTTTAATTCTAAAAGTTTTATCTTTTATTAGTGTGTGTGTGTGTGTGTGTGTGTGTGTGTTGTGTGTTGTGTGTATGACATGAGCATACACATGCAACAGTTTGAGTATGGAGGTTAGAGGACGCACACTGATCTGGGGTCCTCAGGTTTCATGGCAGGCACCTTTACCCACTAGAATGTCACCAGCCCTGTGATGAGGAGATTCTAAAGGTTACAAATACAGAGTCATTAGGTACTATGTCCTCGCCTTCCTCCAAAGCAGATGCATTTTATTTAAAGGCACAGCCCCTAAATATTATCTCTATTGCATAGTTAATCTCTATTTACACCAAATCATAATACACTTGTTGGCCTATCCCCAGGCCACTGATTTTCAATACCTATAAATTAAGAACAGTTTTTGCTAGGAGTGGCCATATTGCTATAACAAAATGTGCACGAGATGCTCATACACAGTGAAAACAATCCAAAACTGAGTAACAGGCAGGGAGGAGAGGGTGACCGCACAGCTCAGAGCTGTCGCTGCATGTGCCCACTAAATAACTGCTTCCCAGGAGTGATGCTTGACCGTCAAATAGGGTTGTTCCCGTTTACTCTCATAACATTTCTGTGCAGATGCTGAGGGAAGTTCTAAAGTCAAAGGGCAAGCATACATTTGCTTATATTTGTGTAGATTACATTATTTCTCAACAAATAAGACCTAAGTGTATTTTAAACATTAGTAATAGGTCATCTATACACAGAATTCAAAACAAGGAAAAACCACATGGTAGTATTGACGGCTTAGGAAGAGATCAGGGGAATGCTCACGGTACAAATCAGAAGATTTATTTACTGGTAGGAGGGACTTGTGACTGGGAAGGGGTGGCCTATGGGACAGTGATACTCCACTTTGACTTCAGTTGTGGTGACATGGGTGTCTAGTAATTACTAGTGATATTTGTATGGTTTAAGCACTCTAACATTTTGTGCTGTTTCATAATGTTTAAAAATATCAAACTTAAAAAATAAAACTCTGGGTTAATGGTACTTGTTGCTCTTAATCTGAATTTAGTTTCCAGCACCCATAGAGAGGTTCATAACCACCTCTAACTCAGTTCCAGGGGCTCTTATGCCTTTTTTTGATCTTCATGGGCACCAGCCATGCCTGTGACAACAGTTTTAGAGAACAGAAGCCACATGACTGCTGAGGGCCACACTTGCTTAGGCATGTTCCATGGATGTCACACTTGGTCCCTGCAGCCACCATGAGGTGGACAGGCCAGGCTTCCTCATCTTACAGCTAGGTGCTTTCCTCAGCTGCTGCCACCCCAGTACATCAGGGGAGTTGGGATTCCCGCCTGTCTCTGAGGGCCGGGCTCTCCTAGCCTCCACTCCCCTTCTTCACTGTGCAAGCAGAAGACGTTCCCAGACAGCGGCAGATTCAGTTTCGTGAGAGCCACACCTTACCTGTCACAGTGTTCTGTGGCAACCTTAAGCTTTCTCTGGGAATCCATCTTCAGCTCCCTGACAGTGGTAAGCCAGGTCTTGAAAATCTTCTTCTGCAGTAACCAGGCGCAGAGTTTCCTGACTTCTTTCTCTAGATCACTGACATACTAGTGGGTGAAGACATGATAGAAATGAGACAAATCCTATCAGCAGACATGTAGAATAAGTTAAAAACAAATAAGAAGATGCAGAAACATACAAAGCCAAATAAAAAAGGCTGCAAAGGGCTGAAAGAGAGGATAACAAGGCAAGCAAGTCAACAATATCCTCTGTAATTTACTATAACAGTAATAGGTATAAGACTGACAGGGGAAGTTTCTAAAATCACCTAAGTACTGTGAGACAGAAAACCAAGGAATAGTAAGAAACAAAAGCTGCAGGACTTACTCCAACACACACACACACACACACACACACACACACACACACACACACACTATGGGGACATGTGCTGGAGACTTTATACTACCCAAGGTTGACAATATTTCAAAGGAATGAACTGGACTCGTGGCTCTGTGTTCTTGAAAAACCAAAGTGGGCGTGGCATTATCAAGCCCATTCAGTTTGTTTTGGTGTTTTTTTTGTTTGTTTTTTTGTTTTTGTTTTTTAATGGAGAGTTGAGAAGAGAGGTGTATTTATTTAGTTTTGATTTTCTGAGAGAAGGTCTCAGCTTCCCAAGTGCTGAGACCATAGGTAAGTGTCATCACATGTGGCTCAAGGAGATGCATTTAAAGT